AGAAAGATGTCGCAAAGGAACGCGACAGAATCCTCATGCCTGCTGTAGTCTTTTCATATTTTTCCAAGGAGTGTGTCCTCATTGAAGCGTGTGAGATTTCAAATGTTTCTTGCCATGATTTTGCGTATTTAGTGCTGGAAATTGGCTGTGAGAGTAGCTCACATCTGACCAAAACAGCATTCAAAGACTTGAAGCGTGGGACCCTCATTGTCTGTTGTACTGAACCTTCACACCTGGAAGAATATTGGAAAGATATTAAGATATGCTTACAGGATTTCAAGAAAGCGATGAAACCATCATACATGCATATTTCGTTGCCTTGCACTGGAGGTAGTAGCCTCCAACGCCTATCAAAGAATGAGGATTTGAAGGCAGAAAGCATGCAGGAATTTCTGAGGTTGATTGGATTTTGTTTTGAACTGATACCGCATGTCCTCCTTTGGTCATTTGAACTTCCCAAGCGAAATCAATACTGGACCAGAACTGAGTTGCAGGAGCTGTTGAAATGTAGTAAACAACCTCTTTATAGCCAGTTTGTCCAATATTGTCAACTTGACGCAGAACCGATCAGCAAGATTCTTCAATTTGTCAGCAACCATCCTTTGATTGTGCAGTCCTTGGCATGCTTTTCAGTTTGCTCTTGCGATGATGGACGTCATAAGCATTTTAATGAGATCAACTGGACAAACACTGAAAGGTATCCCTGGAAATTGTGTGGGTGCCTCATCGCCTCTGTGAAAAGCATTTTCGAGAAAGAGCTTTATGATTTCCGACCGCATGGGCCAGACAACGCCTATCTGATGTGGGACCCGAAACAACCTGAGGATTTTCGATTTTCACGAAAGAGATTGGCTGAATTTCCTATCTCGGCAGCCTGAAACTTAGTGAGCTTCGGGTTTATATGAGGTGACAGGTTTTCAGCAAAGTATTCCAACCTTTGAATTATATAGCCATGGGACATGTTGGATATGAGAAGATTTGAGAAGCAGTGGCGAGCGAAGGCAAAAGATGTCAATTTTTCCTTTAGTCTCATCATTGCAGATCTTTTAAGACTCATGCAATCCCATGTGACTTCCAGCCTTTTGACACTTGCAATCATTTGCACTTCAGTACATCGAATTTTCCCTTGTGTGCAGATCCTCCGCCATGACACGAAAGGGGGTGTGAATATAATGCACCATCTGGGACAGAGGTGCATGTTAACAATCGTGTCAGCGCTTCAGATCCAAAATCTCAGCCGCTTAGGCTTAAATTCATGAAGCATATGCCGTTCGGTGCTCAACACCAATTGAAATGATTTTCTTGATCAAAAACGCCAAAGCACAGTTGATTTTTGGTGCAGAACACACGAAATTTTCTCCTGAGAAAGAGTATTGATTTTTTGGACAGTGATAAGCCAAGTTTTGCACAATTCCTGCCGGAATTGTGAATCCAAAGGTGCAGTGCAAAGAGTGAGGATCTCATTCCATAGAGATTTAGTTTGATAATGTCTGTGCATCTTTGATGCATCCGTCGGTAGACATAAACTTAGTGCAGCAGATGTCACGAGAGCTTGAACTAAATTTCTTGGGAGTGCGTGCTCCACTGCGACAGTCAGAAATATTTTCAGATGGGAAAGCTGCTCACAACTGAGAACAGTTGTGGAAAATGTGAGAGAAACCGATTCCAACACTCTAGACTTTATGCCATTTGCTTGTCTTCAGAAGCCATCGGCAACCACATGTAACTACAAGCATCCGAGCATTGACCTATAGTGCTTAGCGCAGTGCGATTTATTTGGATTGTGCCCGTGCACTCAGTTCAGAGAGTCTCGCAGTTGTGATCTCGGATTTAATTTGCGAAGCCATAATCAGTTGCACATATTTCTCCGTTTTTTTTGGTTTTGTGCAATCTTCACATTTGGTGGAACCAAATGTTTGCTTGAATGTTCTGAACTGCAGAAAGAGCCACTTGAGAAGTGGTGGAAACGTAGTGATAGCAGGAAAGTAGACAAGCCAAGTGTCTGAGCGAATGACCATCTCAGCCAAGAACAGTGAGACATAGTTTCAGAATTTGTCACTTAGATCCACTTTAAATTTGGACTGATTTGCAAATTTCGTTCACTGCTGTTCACTCATTGTTTTGCATGTGACACAGAAGAAGTTGCTTGACACCGACTTTTGCACCATAGAAGGTGCTAATTAGGTCAACGTTTGGGTCGACAAGAATTTCCAAGTGAGTAGGCTGTGAGAGAACAGAACTGAAGGACTTGGATCTAACCCAAACTGATGCAAAGAAAACAGTTTTTCATCCTGCCAAAGGCTGGATGTGCTGTCCATGGAATAATGAATTCCATCCCGGAATCTGGCTCAAGGCCACACCGCGATTATGGAAAAGATCAGAACAGAGACTTCACTGGGAGTGACATCATAAGAACTCACATTTTAAGATCTTGAAAGGTATCTGGTTGACAACCTACTGTTTATCCCCTGGGGCTGTTAAATTCCGCAGATGGTGATGATGATGATGGTGATGATGGTGATGATGATGAGGAGGAGGCGGAGGAGAGGAAGATGATGATGTGGATGTTGAGGAGGGAGGATGATGATGATATGATGAGGGGGAAGGATGCTGATGTTGAGGAGGATGATGCTGAGGATGAAGACCGATCCCAAGACCGGGAAGAAACTTTGTGCGAGCCAGCGCAGTCGAAATGCACATGGACATTGCACAAGAGCCATTTTGAATAGAAATTTACAAGTAAAAAATGGCCGCGGACACCGGGGAAATCGTTTTGTGCGAGCTGCGCAGTCGAAATGCACATAGACATTTCACAAGAGCCATTTTGTGTGGAAATTTAGAGGGAAAATGCCGGACGCGTCCGATACCACCTCGATTGAACACCAGGCCTTAACACTTACCGTAAGAACCCCTCAGTGTGGCCACACTGTTTGGGAAATAGACTTTGGGGGGTGGGGGTTCCAGGCAAGAGTCCCTGAATATAGTTCTTTTGTTTGGTTGTCTCGATGTTTTCTTGGATTTTCTGGTGGGGCAGCCTGACTTTTTAGTTTCTAAAGGGTGGAGGCCGTATTTTTTATTTTCTGGAGGTTGCGTATGTTTTTCTAAGCAAGGAGTGCCACCCTCTTTTCAAAGGAATAAACAAATATTGCATCTTTTTCAAGGAAACGTGCATAAAGGCATGCCGTACTGTCCTCAAGGAATACCATGATCTCTTTAAGTGCAACTGCTTATTGAAGAATACCCGAATATTATGCTTGTTCAAAGGACAATTTCATGGAGTCATACTGCACTTTCTTACAGAAGCATCACCCTCTTTCACAGAGGTTGCCATATTATACATACGTATACATATATATGAAAGGGTTCCCTTTAGTACAAGAACTTAAACAATGCCATACTATTTCATAAGGAGTGCTGTGTGTCGACTGAAGGCTACTTTCTCAAGGGAATGCCCCACACGTTCGAAAGGAATACCTTGGTGTACATGTATAGGAATTAACATATTTCAATATAATGGCATATAATGTCAACCCTGGATTAATAAACCCCTAGGTTGTTTAAGTATTAGATAATGACTGTTGGAGGAGCACCCCACCCAATTAATAAACCATGGTTTATTAATCCGGGGTTGACATTAGTGAGTGACGGTGTTGTGAAATGATGCAAAACACTTGTCCAAATGAATTATGAGGATCTTTTTCAAAGGAAGATTGCATAACACCATGAAGTTCAAGTGAATATGTCATGAAGTCATCAAGTACTTTCTTAAAAGAATGCCGCGCTCGTTGAAAAAAGTAATGTGTATATTTCAGTTATATCTTAGCGAGATGCTACCCTTCTCTGAAAGGACTACCTCCATGGAAAAAATACCATAGTTGTTACAATATATATGGAAGACATGATGCACTATCTTTAAAGGAATGCTTGCACATCTCAGGGCCCTACTTCAAAGTAATGATAGACTTTATCAGAGGAATGTTGCCCTCTCTGTAGGAGAATGTTGCATGATGTTGCATGGAGGTATGCAACAACTTCCTCAAGGAATGCCACATTATTTTAAATGATGACGTATGAGAAGCATGCTGCTGCCCTTAAAATCAGAGTTGATACTATGTTTTAAAATCTGTTGCCCTTCAAGAGAACAGCATGCTTATATCTCTTTATGAAGGGAACTCTGACAGTTGGATGCAGTACTGCTTGGGACAAACATCACCCTGTCGTTTGATCGCGGCAACCGGTCAAAATTGAATTCCATTTCTCTTTGGCATTGGCTCAATACAATAGTTCATATCAAAAACGGCTGTATTGCAGCATATGTCTACCAAACTGATTTTTCCCAGCTGATTGACGGGTTTGCGTCCAGGTCCTTGTAATGTATTGTTGCCTAATATGCAAACTTGGATATGTACCGTATACACAGAAAAGACTTGAAGCCAACAGTTCTTCCACAATACATACCTATAATTAGCTATTAGTATAGCTCTAGTAGCACTGCTAAGCCTCTATTACCTAAGACATGCAGCCAGATGTTGGAGGTGACTCTACAAAGATCCGGACTCCATATTTTTGACAGATCCATTCAGTTTTTTTCGCAGCAATATTAGTGTTCCTAATTCTTCATTATTTCATTGGTGGTTTTTAGGGAAATTTACAAAGAAACCATAAGAACCTCCTGCGTTTGAGGATAGAAACCATAGTAAAAACCCATGGCTTTCCTCGACAAATGTTCCCTGAAAAAACACTTCAACCAATCCAATGAAATTTAATATTGACTCATGGAAGAAACATGGAAAGGGAGATAGAAAACTGGAGAAAAAAAACAAGACACATTCCCATAGGATCCATGTATGGTATATATGCTAACATTTGGGGTATATTGATGGTAAATGTTACCATATATAGCATACATGGATCTTATGGGATTAATTAATACCTTTTATAGATTCTCTCAATGTCGAAAATCTGTCCCTCCTCCCAAAGTCGTTTGTCAACCGAGGTGCCACCGCGGAAACGGTGTTCAAAGGTCACAGTTTGCGGTGGAAATGCCTCGGAGATGGAGATACCAAGTACAGTGGGTCTGCAAAAAAAATCGACATCATGGAGATTTCATACCCAATTATATCCATGATAAATCCCGATGTCGGCTGCTGGGTTTCCCTTCAGTCTACCCCGGGTCCCAAAAAAGGGGGTCGCGCACGCCTTGGAACTTCCGGCTCCCTGCTCTGGTGTCGCCTTTACCTGCGACAATGGTTGTCCATTTTTGGGGGATTCATGGGAATTCAATTGCAGTATTTTGACGAATTATGACCCTCAGGCTGAAGATGGAGTTTAATCACCCAAAATGACAATTCGAAACCATGTGAGGAAATATGATCATGAATCATGAACTACACAGGGGTTTGGTGTATGGATTTATCATGTTCCACCATGGTTTCTGGGGCTCCACCAAAACATCGCGAAATCTCAGGATCTTCATGAGTGGCCAACATCAAGCCACAATTAGTTACGGGAGATTGTTCAAAGCATTTGATGCTCAGTGATCTTCAGTGGAAATGACATGGCATAATCCCACAATAATCCCACAATCATCCCCGGTTCCAAAAAAAAACGAAGTCAAAAAATTGAATCCCCTCACTATGCACCCACAAATTGCCTTGCCGTTGGCTGATTTGTGGAAGATCGAGCTGTTGCATCATGGCATCATGGAATGGGATATACTTGGGATAGCGTTGGGTATATCATGGACATTGTTCCGATATGTGGGAAAAAAAGGATTTAATCTGAATGATGAAGTCAACACCTGGATACACCAAGATCTGATGATGTCTGAATGTTTTCTTCACTTCCAAGTATCAACGGAGAGTTCCCAAACAGCAGTGGATGTGGATGGTGATGATGAGGACGATGATTGATTGTTATTACTATCATTGTTATTAGTACTATGATTGTTACTGCGACTATGATTGCCATCTAGTTATTTAACATAGCCATGGAAAATCACCATGCTATTAATAGGTAAACCATCTATAAATGGGCCATTGTCCATGGCTATGTTAAATAACCAGAGGGTATCTGTTCAAAAAAACATTCTTTTTTATCGATCATCACTGTGGAGCGTTTTCTGTCAGGGAAAAACGTGGAGATGTTTTGACTTTTTTTGAAATACCCTCTGGTAAACATACAAAAAACTATGGAAAATCACCATGCTAATGGGAAAACTCACTATTTTCTATGGCCATGTTCAATAGCTATCTTAGTTTACCAGAGGGTATCTTGAATTTGTAGACCAGTTGGAACAGCATTCAGAATCTGAAACACTTGCGGCACACCGAATCCGAGTTGGTGAGGCTTCCCCAACAAGTCAGATGCATCTGGCCATCTGGTTGTGACTAACAGTTCGCCATGGAAAGATCCACCATTTTTAAGAACGGTAAACCAGGTAAACCATCTATTTCTATGGGCCATCTATACCATGGCGAACTGTTAAATTACCAGAGGGTACATGCCATTTCTGGAAGGGGAGAATTCTCCTGGCTTGGTCTTTCCATTCTCACATGAGTCAGCCTGAAAATTATGAAAGACTTCTCAAAAACCGAATCAGGTACGGTGCTTGTTATTAACCCATTGGGAAGCGGTCCGTTGGGTGATTTCCATGGTCTTGGTCCTGGTTTCGTCCCAGCTGCACCTCGTATTCCAACATAGTCAGACCCAAGGCTGGCTTGAAATCGCCCCACACCCTCGCTGCAGTCACACTTAAAAACATGTTGGGAGCAATTGGAGGCTTAAACCCACAATGTCCTGGATTTCTGTACCCAAGTAAGAAATCATACTATAAATTACAAATGTATAAATATATATATATATACATACATAGATAATATATTATATATATATATGTACAAATATATATATATATATAATGTAAAATACATGTATTATATATAATACACATATTTAATACATTTATATATATAATACATACATAAAATACATGTGTATATATATATATATTATCATATATATATATAAGATGTATATATAATTATAAGAATATATATATATAATACATATATGGCGGTTGATCGAAAGTCCATTATCTGCAAACTTCGCGAATAAACAAATCATTTCCGCGAATCTTTCGCAACCACAACGTTTATCTTTCGCAAGGGTCTCATGTTAAAATCCTTCGCTATTTTTTGCCCAAAAACAAAAAAAAACATTTCGCGAACTCAGGAAAAATTTTCGCGGGGTCTCATGTTGGAACCCTGGCGGCCAATGGACAATGGACAATCTCTACATGGACCTTTAGATCGACAATCATATAATGTCAACCCTGGATTAATAAACCCCAAACGACTGTTTAATTGGGAGTGTACCATTTAAGTATCAGATGAAATGACTTAATCTAATTAATAAACCATGGTTTAGCAAAATCCGGAGTTGACATTATATGACTCTGAGAGGCCGACACTCGTGCTGCAGTCGCTGAGATCACCTCGATCATTCGAATAGGATTACCAGATGGATCATGATGATCCCCAAAACAGAAAGGATTAAAAAAAAAAACGCAACCAACTGGGGGTTTGAACACTGCTCAATTTCTTTCCGTTGACACAATTCTCTGCCTACTTGTATTTCGCGGAGGGTTGAATTGGCATTTTTTGATGTTGTTTCAAAGGTTCATAAGTTTCTAAGCAGAAACCAATTGCAAAGGTTGGTTTGAACTCCCATCATCGCTGCAAGGAGTTGTTTGTTTCCCGTTCCAAATGGGTTTCATCAGTGCAGGCACCATGGTTTCATTGCCCCCCCTAGACATCAAAATCCCTCAAAAGAGGTAGTGTGTCTAATTACTGTAGGTTTCTTGGCATTTGGGTATGGGTCAAAATTAGGTACCCCCAAAATTATGGATAGTTAATACTAAACTAGACTAACATCTGTGGTCCCCTAGGTCTTCCATTTTGACCCACATCCATTTGTTTCTTCTGCTGATCACCATCTTTCTTTTCTCGAAAAGACAACCCCGGCCTCCACGTTCACAGGCCGCTGAACTTTCAGGGAGGCTGCAGTCGGAGCCACAGGTGGCGGCACCTGTGAAGCGACGCGTGAAAATTGGCATTGTGAACCAGCAGATGTCCATTTCATCTGAAGTGGTATGAGTTAATGATGACAACGATGACGATGATGATGATGGTGATGATGATGATGATGGTGATGGTGATGGTGATGGTGATGATGTTGCTGCTGATGATGATGATGATGATGATGACGACGATGACGATGACAGTGTCAATATAATTATAGAGGACTTAGTGGGGCTTCTTGGGATTTAGTAGGACTCAGTAGGACTTGGTAGGACTGATTGTGATAAATCATGAGAACAAACGATAATAATGAGTGTAACGTTAATCATTATATACCTATACCGTGTATATATACGTGTATATATAATATAATTACACCAAATATGTATCATGTAATAATTATTCTATACGATCATTTCAGTCATTTGCCGGCTGAAACCGAAAAAAGTTGAACCAGGTCCGAGTCCCGAAGACCTAAATCGGAGGTACCTACCATATAAAAGGTCTAGTAGCGAGGCCTATGTAAGGGGATATACCCCAAATTCCTATGGCTTTATATGGCTTTATATGATACAGTACCTCCAGTTTAGGTACCTGAAATGGTCATTCAAAAACACCGCAAGAATGTTCAAGAATAAGTGTCTCAAAATCATCAGAAGTCACATTTTTTCTGTGGCATCAACTCCTCTGCAGCCTATTTCTGCGTTTTCTCAAGCTGTAGGCACAACATGTTGCCCCCAAGGTGGTACTTTTGAGACTCAGCCAATGGGAAAAATCCCGGAAAGAATGTAAACATGTCCCATCAAATACGGGGCCCTCCTCTGACCATGTTCCTCAAACATCTTAAGTCAGTCCAATAAGTCAAGTGAAAAAAAACATGATGGGGATCTATGAAGTGTCATGAGGATGTCAATGCTGTATTTAGTTGAAATGAACATGGTTGGTAAGGGACACATGACCTTGGATTGTGAGGGACACATGACCGTCAGGGTGAGAATCTTAGTACTCACCCATAGCATCTGGGCACGGTTAACCAATACCCAGAATGAGCCGGCCGGTCAAAAGATGGTATATACATGGGGTATGGTCATCCTTACATTGGCCGTTCTAGGTCCTTCAAAAAAATGGCTGACATGTTATGACCATCCTTGAAACACTCAAAAGAACAAGGCTGAAACCTCGGGTTGTTCGGTTAAAAGTGGCCATGGCGACCAAGCCGGGGGACTTCCACCTTGCCCAGGGTAGCACTCCCATCCGATTCTCATGAGTCCAGAAAATCCTGGTGAAGAACGGGATGGAACCCCGTTCTTGGATGATTCTAATTCCCATTCCCATAGGATCCATGTATGGTATATATACTAACATTGGGGGTATATTGATGGTAAATGTTACCATATATAGCATACATGGATCCTATGGGATTTTTATAAAGGATATAAAGGGTAGATAAGCCCCAAACTAATCATCAACCCTGCCAAGGCTTTAGCAGCCACTGCTCACTTTGGGGTGTCCCCTGAGCCATTAAAAATTCGCCCTATCCCATCTCATGAAATACTAGTTGGTTGAAAACGGTTTCCCTATTATGGCTTATCATAATCCCTATGGCAATCAATTGACCAGGGTATTTTCAATATTTTTTTTCATGGCTCACCTGATTATAGAGCTGCCTTCCAGCACCTGAAAGAGGAAGGCCTTGGAGGTATGCGACCACTGCGACCAATTCTTCCCGTTGCCCACGCGCACCTGACGAATTCGTCAGCGTTTCAGGGTGGAACCAAGGGATCAGGAGATAATCATGGGAAATCAGCCATTGTATTCCAGAAAAAAACCCATTATATATGGTATAGTATATTTACCTATAATATATGATAATATATGGTACTTTAGGTAGATTTAATGGACAATTAATGGATAATTAATGGATAACTAATGGATAATTAATCTGGTTGGTGGTATACCTACCCCTCTGAAAAATGATGGAGTGAAAGTCAGTTGGGATGATTTTCCATTCCCAACTGAATGGAAAGTCATAAAATTCCATGGTGCCAAACCACCAAGTAATCCAAGGGTCGTATTTAGTGGAAAAAAACTAGGGTTTCCGGTAGATTTCCCCTTAAACCAATCCATTGATAATGGATAATTCATCAATGGGAGATCTTCAGGATCCAACAGATGGACGTACGTTAGTACCATTTTTCAGACCATCTAACTGGGGGTATATCCCCGTAAAAATAGGCCTTATATATGTAGGGCCAAAAATCTATGGAATCGGTACCTCCAATGAATCGGTTCCTGAGTCATGGCCATGATGAGGAAATCCTCTGGAGAACAGCCATAAATATGTACCCCACGTGCTTCTTGGTGGTGAATAGCTAGCCATTTCTGGTAAGCCATTGGGGATGGTTGATTGTTGAGTTCACCCATAGTGACAAAGCCTGGCTGCAGCATTGGCCGATTGGCCGCGGCTATCATTCTTCCACTTCTGAATCATTCGAGGTAGCAATCATAGAGAAAAACATTTGAGACAACCAGGCATGGCCATGCTAAACTCAGATACCATGCAAACGGTTTTATCTTGGTGGGCCTGTAATCCTCAATAAAGGGTGGCTAGCAACAAAAACCTCCTAGTTTTCAGTTGGCTTACTGAGATATCCAATGTGATGCAATGCAATGCAATGCAATGTAAAGTATATAATGTAAATGCAAATGTAAATGTAATGTGTTGTAAATCCGCCCGCACCGAAGGTGCTGGGGCGTGATCTTCCGGATGGCACTCGTAAAAGGTTACAGGTTTACCTGGGGGGGGGGCATTTTTCGGCCAAAACCTCCTGTTTTTGATAGGTCGTGACGCTCGCCTTCAAAAAACACTGTAAAAAACAGTACGGAAGACACCTGTTCGTGAACGCGCCCGTCCAAAATCGGCAAGCGAAAAGTGAAAAAACCCCGTGTTTTTCAACTTTTTGACCTCAATTTTTTGGTTTGCAACATCTTTTTTTGCGGTTCCGCAGGTGGCCGGGCCCGGAGGCGGATTTTTGAGTTTTTGGACCCGTTTTCGGACTGATTTTCGTCGTTTTGTGATAGCAGAAACACTGGTTTTTACAGTGTTTTTCTGTTTTCTGCATGCTTGACGGCTAGCTTCAAAACTTCCAAAAACCTCGTAAATTACGCTGTTTTATGTTACGGTGTGAATGAAAACATCGTAAATACCAGTGTTTTTTGACGTTGGTTAAAAAAACACTGTAAATTACAGTGTTTTTGGCCACCTGACCCTCAAAAACCATGGTATTTGCAGTGGTTTCTGCTTCTCACCGCGCAAAAACACTGTAAATAACAGCAATTTCGCCGTTTTTTCATGTTTTTCGTTATTTTTTGAACTGCGTTGGTCCGCTATACATGGCTATCAAATTCTTCGCGTTTTTTTTTCCGACAATCAGTACTTTCGGATGTTTTTGGTCTCAATGGCCGACATCATTGGCAGTTACGAGCGGCTGCCCAACGATGCGGTGCGGGCGGTTGCCGTCGCGAAGCGACGTGAATAATGTAATATAGTGCAATGTAATTGTAGTGTAGTTATGTAATTGTAATGTTATGTAATATAATTATGTGTATATACGTATGTACAATATATATATATATAATTATAGGATACCACAACATGACCTCACGCAAAGGCCAATTTTTCTTGTTAGGCTTCAACACCTACAGATCCCATCCCCAAGGGGGCATCCAACACGATAAAACACAATGAATTCCTACATCTGAAAATTTGGCCCATATCAAGCCATACTTTGGGGGTTGCATTCCCCTTACATAGCCCTTACATAGACCTAAAAAAAGGCTAGCTACTAGCTACCTCCTTTTTTTCAGTTCCCGAATCGCTGGCCATTGAAAATCGATGCACCACGGGTAGCCCTCTACCTGGAAGACATAGACACCGCTGTCCAAGAGCTCCGCGGTAGTTGGCAACTGGCAGGTGACCATGACCATGGAACCATGGAATCCTACCATCTGGTTATGACTAACAGTTTGCCATGGAAAGATCCACCATGCTATTAATAGCTAAACCATCTATTTCTATGGACCATCTATACCATGGCGAGCTGATAGTCATAACCAGAGGGTAAGTTTTCTGAACCATGTAATAATTATTCTATACTATCATTTCAGTCATTATTTCAGTCATTTATACTATCATTCTGAACCACTATAATTTTACTGGGTATGGTTTTAGTACAGACCATTGTGAATTGCTCTAAATTACTCTAAAGCCCCCCAAACCTTGGTCCAAAAATCCGAACACAAAATGGAAGTCTGGCCGAAAAACGCGAGGCAACATGGCCAATCTGGAAGATTTCCGTAAGAAACAACCAAAAAACAACAGCAGTTCAAAACAGCATTACATATTGTTAGGTAAATATGTATATTATATATACAATGTGTGTGTTCATTGTATCATAGATTCCCTCATGAATTGATTCACGAAATCAGTGATTCATCGATTTTTCATCATTGATTCTTTCATTGGTTCATTCATTCGTTCATTCATTGGTTCACTACTTCATTCACGCATTCACTGATTCATTGATTGACTCGTCATTTCACTGATTCATTCGTTCGTTCAGAACGGTTTGCGAAGGCGGCTATTGATTCATGAAAACTCACTGACGAAACGAAAATCATGGGTGAATATTGCTTGATTCATTGGTTGCTTCATTAATTTGCTCACTCAGCCATTTGTGCCCTGATTCTTTCATGTCATTCATTTCACATCAGATAATATATATATATATATATAATTGAAGATGTTTATATATAATATTCCATTTAGCTAAAAAAAAATCGTCACAGTGAGCTCACAGTTCGTCATTCTCCCATGGTGTCCTCTCCATTAAGTCCCATGACCGAAACGAGCCCTCCATCCATCTGTGGCACCTCAAAACTGCATTTGCTGCTGCGGTTGAGGTTTTTCGAGTGAATCTCCACAAAGCTGGTCTCGTGCCAGTCGCTGTCCAGAACCTGTGAATGATGTGAATGATGTTTACCCTCTGGTAATTTAACGTAGCTATTGAAAATGACCATTAATAGTGGATTTTCCCATTTAATTTTTTTGATTTTCAATAGCTATGTTAAATTACCAGAGGGTAACTGATCCAGGGGGTAATATGTCCAAAGGAAATCTGGAAAAAAAAACTACTCTGCTGCTGCGATGATTGTCTGGGAAAACAGTAGCTGTCCAAACATTTTGAGGGGTCCATGATACGCTCCAAAAGCATTAATTACAACCACCCCCCAAAAAAAAAGAAAAATCGATGATTTGTTCTATCCCCCATTTATTGCGGGTGATATCCCCCGTTTTTCTACACCTTTACGTTTTTTCAAGTAACCCCAAAAAGGATGGAACAGATACTGGTTGACATGAGCATTATTTCAGGAGGATCTTACTTCTCCTGGGTCCATGTTCTTCTTCATCTTTTTAGGTATTCCCTCAAGATGTTTCCATTCTTCCAGCTCCATCAAGCTCGTTGCTACCTTTCTTGAGGGGTTGCCAAAAAGTATGTTGCGACCTCTGTGGCTCCGCACATCCTTCTCAAGAGCCTTGCGCATCTCGGGTAAAATACTGGACCTCGACGTCAGCGCCGCCGGAGATGGCAGGAGAAAGCTATCAAAGGCTGAATCTGAAATGAAGCGATCGAAAATATACCGAGATTTATCAAGTTTTCCTATTTTAAGTTAATTGAAATTCTTCTTGGGGGCTAGGCCTCAATGAACATCAATGAACCAACCCATGGGGAAAGGACATCCATATTCCAGATGGGGTCGTCTGAAAATGTTGGGACAAACATAGAAAAAGGCTACATGCTAGGTCCCATGGTTTAAAATATGATGCAGAACCTGTTTTCAATAGCATTCAATAGCCAAAATTTGTTGTCTGCCCCTATTCTTGGACAAACCCAGATCTGTGAAGCGTGATGAAGGGTTTAGGCTTCTGAATCGTATCTCCCAAGAGTTTCATACAAAGATACCAACAGATAAGATCAATAAAAATGGACACAGGGATAGTTCTGAATGTTACCCTCTGGTAAACATACAAAAAACTATGGAAAATCACCATTTTTAATGGGTAAATCCACTATAAATCACCATTTTCAATGGCCATGTTTGTTTACCAGAGGGTATGACAGGAAAATCAACATGTTTTCGGAATGTATCAAAAAGTCTAGACCTCGGGAACCACGGATCGGGTCTTTCAGAATTACCATCGGGCGCATGTCGGCGGCTGGAGTTCGGCCCGACTCTTCCGGCCCGAGGCCAGCGCCTTTTTTGGAAACGTTGGGCATCCCAACATCTCATGGTGTCTCATCGTTTTATAGATCGTTAAATGGCATGAAATGGCCAATTTCATGCAAAGTTTGGCTCCCATTTTTGGCGATACAAATCCAGACGTGGACACGCCCCAGGAGAAGCAGCCAGCTGGGCTTCCGCTGCTGCAAAGCAAAGCGCACTTGCACCATGGTGACCTCAAGATTTTCAGCCCCTGGGTTTCTGGATGGTTTCTGGGCTGGGTAGGGGGTGCTTACTGATGGAAAGGGATCGCGTTTCTGGGCTTACGTTCCAAATGAACTCGAAATCACTCCAAGTGTAGCTCACAGGATTTAGCCGCGTACCAAAACAGCGGAGATCAGCTTCAAACTGCCAAAGTTTTCACCAGATTCATGTTCAACTCCATTTTTTGAGTTTAACTCTATATATATATAATACTAATTAAATCTTATAGTTCTATTCATTTAACCTATTTTTAACGTATTCTTCAAAGATATGAGATTTACCTTTAGGGGATTAGCCCAGGATATCACCAGTCTCGTCAAGATGGCAAGACTACATCCATTTTTGAGAATGATGTTTTTCCCACTTCGTCATGTAGGTATTTCCATTGTATTCCCATTTTAATAAATATGTCCATGATATTTCAATATGTCCCATTTATAGATGATATACCATCTGGTTATGACTAACATAGCCATGGAAAGATCCACCATTTTTAAGAACGGTAAACCATCTATTTCTATGGGCCTTCTATACCATGGCTATGTTAAAGAACTAGATGATAATCACTGATATAGATGATATTACCATGATATCTCCCAAAAATAGATGAATTTCCAATCATCGATTTGCCGGTCTTTTCACTTCAAGGATCCTAGTACAAGGAAAACTTCATCACCAGTCGGCAAAAACCTTCTCGAATGGAACACTTCTGGTAGTCAACAAAAAAAGTTTACAAAACTAACTTTAATGGAACATCACTGGAACATGTTTCTTGGCCTTTTTAAAAATAACTGGCAAAAACCTTCAACCAATCAACAAAAATTGAACAGAAAACTGGCCAAACTGGCCAATGGTTTCTTCAAAATCATGGGACCATCTGGTTTGGCTGCGATGAATTCTCATGGAGCCATGGGACCATGTCTGGAGCAAAATGTATGTCTGGGGTAAATCTTTCCGGCCGGGTTTTACGTGAGATGAACATCTCAAAGAACTGACACATGTGTCTATGATGAGAGTCCTTTCACAGTCCCATATACCCCAAAGTGCATATCATATATATCATATATATCATATATATCATATCATCATATCAAAGATGCATATGAAAAATGCATATCAAACATTCTCAAAGTACCTTATATAAATATCAATGCCTATTGCACCTATTGCACCTCTCAGTATCCTGTTGATAATTTCGCATCCATCGATCCATCGCTCCATCGATCCATCACCGCTGGCAAGCCGACCATCCGATGTCCATAGCCGTGAGGCATAAAGTGCAACCTCTGGAGTTCTGACTTTCCAACTGGATACTGATCTGATTAATATATATATATATATTAATATGCTGGCATAGTTAAACTTATTACTTATGACTTATACAATATACATGAAATACACTATAGTTAATTAAATTACAATGAACATTCTTATCTCGATAGATCGAGGGTTTTGATGACCTTCTTCAAAAAGCGAGGTCAATTTTTGTAGCGTCCCGTCGCCATCTCCAGCGATACCAAGGGACTGCGATGCTTCGTACTTGTGCATAGCATATGTGCATCTGCTTGGATAATAAAGCATCTGCATGTACATATTATATATATTATTATATATATATACAATGTATATGCATGTATATGTACAAGTATTGTGTCGGTGTAAAACTTATACACCTATATATATATATATGTAGTGACGTGTATACATAATATGTGCAAATCAGTACATATCTGTATATATATATATGGCGGCTGGCGGTTTATCTAAATTAAATTCCTTTATCTGCAAACAGCCATTCTTCGCGAATAAAAAACTTACTTTCGCGAAAGATTCGCGAACCCCACGTGTATATTTTGCGGGGGTCTCTTGTTAAAAGCGTTCGCTAAATCTTTCGCAACATATGTATATGCATATATATATATACATCTGGCCAAATTACTTTAATTCTTACCTCGTCTCCCTCGTGTCTTAATTTGTTCCCCATGATTACTGTCCTCGTTCGTTAATTTGCAGGTGCAAATTAAGGCTTTACCTCGTTAATTCGAAGGAAGAAAGTAGCTTGTGGGCCTTCTTTCCAGGGTCCAACCCCAAGGAAAAAAACATTTCAGCTTCCGAAAAGTTTTTTTCCACGATCCACGGTCTCTTGCAGGGATTTTTAAATCTGAGTCTGATCGGTCTTTGCGCTTCTTGCGCTTGGGTGGTGACATCTCTGACATTATCGCAGAGATGCAATGCTCTTCTGGAGCAACTCTGAATCCTACTGCTTCTGCAGCCGTCAACCCACGAAGCGGGCCTCTGGCGATAGAAAATAAAACTTTTTGGGGCCTGAAAAGTTGTTTTTCCTTCCTTGCCTGCTGACCGGCCTCTGGCGATAGAAAATAAAACTTTTTGGGGCCTAAAAAGTTGTTTTTCCTTCCTTGCCTGCTGACCGGCCTCTGGCGATAGAAAATAAAACTTTTTGGGGCCTGATTTTTTTTTTTCCTTCCTTGCCTGCTGACCGGCCTCTGGCGATAGAAAATAAAACTTTTTGGGGCCTGAAAAGTTGTTTTTCCTTCCTTGCCTGCTGACCGGCCTCTGGCGATAGAAAATAAAACTTTTTGGGGCCTGAAAAGTTTTTTTTCCTTCCTTGCCTGCTGACCGGCCTCTGGCCCCCAAAAAAGTTTTTCTAGCCAAGCCCAAGCATGCAACAGAACCAATGCAAGGCTACCTCGTCGAGGTCGGCTAATTCTGATGAGCAAATTAAGGGCTGACCTCGCTAATTCCTGCAACCTGCCTCGTTGCCTCGGCTGTCCTCGCTATAATTTGTGCAGATACATGTGTACTTTCGCGAACTCAGAAAACCTTTCGCGGGCAGCCTTTGTAATGGACAATCTCTACATGGACCTTTAGATCGGCAATCATTTATATACAATATTACATTGCATTAAAATTAACATTTACATTAACATTACATGTGTATACATATGTGCATGATTTTGGTATGACCCAGACATGGATATAGAAGGATCAACATCTGCAGCATGTGCAAGGCTCGAGCAAGCAAGCGGTTTCAGATGTCAGATTGTGATACAATACTGGTTGGTGGTTGACCAACCCCTCTGAAAAATGATGGAGTTCGTCAGTTGGGATGATTTTCCATTCCCAACTTTTCATGGAAAGTCATAAAATTATTCAAAATTCCATGATTCCAGTCACCACCAACCAGAAGCATGACTAAATAGACCATGCGTAGGTAAGAAAGCCGAACCTCTATGACTGATCAACCGGCTGAGGCGGATGCTTCCCATCCTCCCATGACCTGAGATAGTGAAGATAGAAATTCATCAAAGAAATGGAAAACTCCTCAACATCTCCTCAACATTCATCAATGGTTAGATTGGTTGATAATGGTTTAAAATGGTTTAGAATGGTTTAGAATATGGTTTAGAATGGTTTAGAATGGTTTAGAATGGTTAATGATGATAATTAATCATATGATTAATTATGATTACATTCATCGACCTGATGATCAAGATCAAACATCATCAAAGCGAAAAACTCCTTCTCAGAATCCATCAGGATATCCCTTCAGCCGCCGACGCTTTGGAGATCTCCGGTAAGAAATTCGCTGTCCGTAGCTCAGCTAACTCCTGAGGTAACGCAGGCGGCTGAAGAATGGCATCATATGGCATCATGGCGATCTTCATGGTCACCCATTTCTCAATGTGTCAATTCTTACCCTCTGGTAATTTATAACAGTTCGCTATTGAAAATGACCATAGAAATAGTTGATTGACCCATTAAAAATGACGATTTTCCATAGCTATGTTAGTTTACTAGAGGGTAAGTTCATCCTGAATTGCGCTTGGGAAACAGTTTGGTGATTTTGAAAGGACGCCGCCATCCCAACCGATCGGTCTGGAAATTTAGATCGACAGTCAGGGCAAGATCTAGAAAAAGATCTTGACCAAACGTTTAGGCGATCCACTTGCCCTTCCCACCATTTCCCACCTCTCCTTTTCTTCCTCTTCCTCTTCACTATCCGTGTCATCCTCCTCTTCAATACCTTGAGAAGCCCCAATCAACTTGATCAACGGATTGCTGCTGATCCCAGCTTACCACCTAGGTGGATCTAGGCATTGCTACGGGAACCATTTGTTTGCCACCTTTTGAAACACCAAGGGACTCGGTCTTCCAATGGCTCGGCTTCGGGTGGAAGTTCAGGGGTCCAACAGTGCTATCCTTTATTCCGAATCCCGGACATCCCAGGTCCCCCCCAGGTACGCCGCCTCCCCCCAACCACGGGCCCAGTGGGCCGATGACAACTCTTTCGCGCAAGAGACTCGCAGCGCCCGCAGGGCAGCCATTTGTCTTTACAAACGTGGCGGAGATGGTGGAGACGGTTCCAGACTGGCAGCTGAGCAGAAAAAACTGGGAAAACGAAGGGCTTGTGGAAAATCCACAACTTCTGCACCTTCGGCTTAGTAGAGAGCCACTTTTGTTTCATCTCTTTTTTCCTTATGTCTTTTAGTGTTTTGAAAAGGGCGTCAGTTGGTGGAGCCATCTTCAGCAACCACAGCGAGGCCACATGCTTCGTGACGCGTGACTGTGCTATGTATGCATTTCAGGCCACTGTCACATGGCGGCAAGTAGGCCATCTAGTTTCTAGATCGGGCAACAGGCCTTGCCACAATAGATCTAATTGGCGCCGTGTGGCACTTGATTTCCAGTGCCAGACAATGACACTTAAAAAGTGTTGGTTTCTCAAAAAGTGTTTCCCCCGGATCCCGCAGCCGTTCGTGCTTTCTCCGAAAAATTCTGGGTGAAACGAGGGAACCAATTTAGAGAGAACCAGGTAACCAAGATCATCTTGTGGAGACTTGACAATGCTCCGCTACACAATGATGTTTGGTGATACCCTCTGGTAAACTAACATAGCGAACTGGAAAGATCCACCAGTTTTTCATGGGTAAATCAACTATTTCGACTGGGCCATTTTCAATAGCTTAAATGCCAGTGTTATCACAACAAAAATGCCCCAGCTTTGGGAAAACGGTCCCCATCATGGCAGCAGCTGGTCCACCACTTTGGCCAACCCTCTAGCGTCTTGGCACAGACGCAGGGAGCGGTCAAAAATCTCTTGCTCCGCCTGGAGGTTTCAATTGAGGGATGTGAATCATTACAATCCCACCCCCTGATATCAAAGATTCATGAATCTTCCCCAAATGGAACCCCAAAATGAATAGTTCCAATAGTAAACTTAGTAAACCAGGTTTCCTGCTGGGGTATCTGGTTTTGTTATTTTGTTATTTTATGATCAATAGGTAAGTGGGATGGGATTGGTTTACAGGTTGGCCAAACACCGCCCCGGTAGTTCTTTGAAGACCCAAAGACCCAAATCTGAAATGTGCATTGATTTACATAAATGTATAATGTATATATATATACATTACATAATTCACATAATTCACCAACCTGAATGGTTCGCCCACTTTGGGATAGAAAAAAAACAATCCCAACCATCCAACGACCTCGCGATCTGAGGTACAAAGTTGTGGCTATAATAACATGCTATAGCTATTAACATGTTGCCCCTCAATGACAAAAAAGTTGTCCAGGAGAATGTCCTGCTGAATTGTAAGTACCCAATGGGATTCCGACTGGGGAAATCAAATGAAAAGTCACCAACGCAGCAGATGCAGCCGTGGAGAAATCGAAATTTTCTTTCAACACCCCCAAAACAATTAGTTGAAATCCACACCTACATTAGTTGATACAGTTCATGTGTCAAAATTGACTCAAATGCTTTGGGGCTTCACCGGTGAACGAGCTCCAAAAAAAGGAGGTCTCATGGGCCATGACCTACGAACGGCCCACTGGTTGGGTTCCCCGAGTACGCCCACCAGGCTGATTCCCATCGTCGCTGCTGAGTTGCTGATGTCACATTTTCCGAAAAGCTTGGGCGCACGGTATCTCCTCCATGATATGCCAACAGAAGACGCAGCCAGGGATCATCTGGAAGATCTTCTAGGCACTTCTTCATGATGCCATGGCAAACATCTGGATGCCTGCCAGTTTTGTTGGTTCCACTGGTCCATTACGCAGGTAGATTGGTTGAAAAACACCATTCCAATTCAACACGGTGATACAAAACCGACAAGGACAATCAACAGGGCCCTAATCCCACCACTTTGCGAATCAGCGTTGTCATCGGCCCCTATTTGGTGGGAAGTATAGTTGCAAATCAGCTGACTACACATATGTAAAATCTATGTGCGTAACGTGCAACAGGGGAGAGAGAGAGAGAGGTCTGTGTAGATACAAGTATTGTGGTTAAACGCATGTATGTAGTATGACGATTATACAGTATACAATAGTATATACATATATAATCATATATATATATGTATATATGTGAGTCTGAAAAAAACCTTCCATATCTGTAGTTCCCGATATTTTATTTGGGGGGGCCATGCTGGGAGGATACCGCACCTCCGGGTGACGACCAGAACCAACTGGAGATCCTGGAGATGGTTCGCCAGGACCAGCGCCGCCTCTTCCACCGCATCACTCAAGAGGAACAAGGCCGCGGCCAGATGGTAGCGATGAAGCTGTAGAAGTCGGAAGGCATTCCTGGTGGTTTGTGCTGGGTGAATTCACATATGTATATATAGTAAATATAGTGTATATATATATATACATATATATATATATAGTGTGTATATATATATACTATATATTGTATATATATAGTGTGTATATATAGTGTGTATATATATAGTGTATATATAGTGTATATATATATAGTGTATATATATAGTGTATATATATAGTGTATATATAGTGTATATATATAGTGTATATATATATAGTGTATATATATAGTGTATATATAGTGTATATATATAGTGTATATATATAGTGTATATATATATATAGTGTATATATATAGTGTATATATAGTGTATGTATATATAGTGCATATATATATATATATATACATATATATACATATATATATATACATATATATATACATATACATATATATATATACATATATATATAGCGTGTGTGTATACATATATATATATAGCGTGTGTATATATATATATATATAGTGTGTATATATAATATATATATAGTGTATATATATATAGTATATGTGTATATATCACTAACCTGAAATATTGGGGATGACTTGTAAAATATTGAGGACAATTGGGACTTAGTGATATTTACTAACCAATTGCACTTTCTTATTGGTAAAGTTTTGGGGATAGTTAGGACTTCTTGATGCATGAATCTTGCGATTGGGAACCTTTCGAAGCGGTTTGCTTTGGTTGCATTCCTGTGAAAGAGCCGCTTTGAGGTTTTGGGGTTTTACATGCTTGGTGGATTGAATTGATGTGATGCTGAAAACTGTTGATGTGCAAAATGGAAAGAAACATCAAGAAACTATCACCAGGGGTTACCATGCACTTGGATCCCATCAAGAGATATTAAAATATATTAACTGGTTGGTGGTTTCAACCCCTCTGAAAAATATGAGTTCGTCAGTTGGGATGATGATTCCCAATATGATGGGAAAGTCATAAAATTCCATGGTTCCAAAACCACCAACCAGTATATGTTTGAACCCATAATACTGGATTAACCTATTAAAATTCCATATATTAACATATCTTCCCATTCCTGGCCAAAATCGTGATTCCCATACTACCATAAAATTGCATAATTCATGATCATTGAAATCATGAAAAGCGTACCAACCGCGTACCTTTAAATGGGACCCTATCATTGATCACCAGGGATCCGGCTAACTTCGGCCTTTTTCATCGGATCGGCGTTGGTGAGGTATTGGGATCTTTGAGATGTCCCTTGTTCTCGTAAAAATGCTGTTTAATGGTCATCATACCCATAGGATCCATGGTGCTGGTATATATGCTAACATTTGGGGTATATTGATGGGATCCATGTTACCATATATACCATACATGGATCCTATGGGATATGGTATAACATGGTCCTGAAAATAAGTCTGTCCAATACGTGTTGCTTCCGGTTCCAACGTTCCAACCCCAAAACACGCCCCAAGTCAGCACGCCCCACGTCAGGACGCCAAGAGTCTTTCGGAGGAACTCGGGTTCTCCCACTTTCTCATGTTGTAGGAGGACCGCAAGACCACCCTGCTGCGATTCCCGTAGAAGTCCTGCAACAGATAACCATAACTGTGCAGGGACCGCAGGGACTGATACAATGTGTGTATGGATATATGTCATATGTGTCATATGACATATATATATAGTATATTTCATTTATGTCATATATACATATCTATATATATATGTGTCATATATATGTCATATATGTGTCATATATGTGTATATACTGCGGGAGATTTTTGCGTGACTGTGTGCACGTTTTTTAAAGAGCGTTGCCCAGGTGCATAATGGTAAATTCAAAAGCCTTGGCCTGGAATAGCTGTACATAAATGATCAACAATGTAGACTCTTGCATACTTTACTATCTAGTGTTGTTAATTATATACGGGTATCTTTTAATATGTGTATATATATATAAATATAGGGATACATATAAAGATAAATACATATGTATATATATATATGGCCTATAGGATTCTACAAGCCCATGTGGATCATCAATACATCGATGAATACGTTTCCAGGCATCTCGTTGCCCTTTTTTCGGCCCCGCCTGTTTTCAGCAACGCTCGAAGCTTTGGGATGGTAGAGCCCAAGACAACCGACCAGAAGACGGCCTCTTTGAACGATTTGCACCAAACTCTAAATGGCAATATGAATCTTCCATGGGAAATTGTCAGGTGGGTTTACCAAAAGGTACAAATGGATGTGCATCCATATATATATATAGTTATTATATTGTATGATGTTATATAATCCATCTTTTGGCACGAAGTAGCCTTGGTTTTCACATGAAAACAGGTGGTGAATAGCTGGATCTTCACTCCCAATGTGGGCTCGTGTTGAACCCGCCGTGTTCGCCCAGCCCAGGCCTCATCAATGTTCTGGCGCCGCACATTGCTTCGGGCTTCGTTGGCATCCATGATTTCTAATGCCTGGTCTGGATGGCTTGGAGATTGCCCATGTGCCTCCGGCACTTCTCTGAATTATTTGAAGGAACGAGCGAACTAAGGATCTACAGTACCTGTTCGACCGCTTATACAATATATATTATATTATATATATATAATGTGTATATAGAGAGAGAGAGAGAGGAAAAGCCAACCCAAGCACCTGCATATGTTGATATACACACGCCTATTTTTCTTAGCAGAGCATTGTTAGATACATAAAGAACAGAATAATACAGAACAGTTGCAACTACCAAGCATAATAATTATCTACTTCAAGTCCCTTGTCCTACCCTTTGATTGTTGTTCCTATCAATGTTTTTTTGTCCAGCAATCATTTTAGTTCGATGAATTTCCCATTGCTAGTAGCTCCATTTCCAATTGGATTTTCCTATATGTTCCCTTCCGCTGTCCTATGATTTCTAGGGATTATCCATGATTTTCCTATACTTTTCATATCTTTTAATGAATTTTTAGGTACAAAGCCGTGGGATTTCTCAGCGACCCCATAGAAATCACGGAACCAGCGCGGCCCAAGTGGCGCCACCCAGTTGTGTCTGGCTCCGAAGCTTTGCCAAGGAAGATTGCGCCAGTTTCCTGGGGCCCATGCGCTCCGAAAAGCTGGAGATGGGGCCAAAAACCATTGGGAAAATCGATGGAAAAATCGGAAAATCAATGGAAATTCTATGGAAAATTGGAAACTTGATTGAAAATTCAATGGAAAATCTATGGAAGAATTGGAAAATCTATGGAAAATTTGGAAAATCGATGGACAATAAACAGGACAATCGCTTTAAAATCGTTTTTAAAAGTGAACAATCGACGGACAATAAATGGGAAAATGGGAAACCGATGGAAAACCATGGAAAAATGTGTGGAAGTCTAGAAGAACGATTCTATATGTCTCTGCGGATCCATCAACACATCGTTTCAGGAACCTAAATGACCTACCATACATAAGCTCTATGTAAGGGCTATGCGCTCGGGGATCTACGGCCAATTCCTATGGCTTTATATATACCTGCAGTTCCGGTACCTGAAATGGCCATTGAAAAAGATGATGGGACAGAAACATTCAGAAACATCCCAAATGATGATGGAAATCGATGGGAAATCGATGGAAAATCTATGGGAAATTCCAGGAAAAAAACCGTCCGGGATGACCATCGAATCATCGTAGGGTTTCTAGCAGCCTGGGATTGGTCCTCTCGATCTTCTTGGGACACCTCTGTTTAAAAATCGGCCAATAAAAAATTATGGTAAGTCTAAAAGGAAACTATGTACATCATATCCCATGACGGATCCATGGTGCTGCTATATGTGGTGCTCCATGGATCCCATCAATACACCCCAAATGTTAGCATATATATACCAGCACCATGGATCCTATGGGTATGATCCCTTTTAGAAATCTAGAACTGGCGGTGGCCCTGAAAATTCTGGAGAAACTGTGCTTGCACCACGAATCCAGTTCTGTCTGGTTTTGAATGGAGAATCTGTCACTTTCAGCGACATCTTGCAGGCTTCGGGTCACTATCCAACTGAAAAATCGGGATCTCAAAAACGCTAAAGTAGATCATAGTAGATCAAGCCAGAGGAACATGAGAAACCTGGGAATCCCAAATGTCCCTAGACATAGACGACCCTTAAAAGACTTCGGGATCCATAGCCTGGGTGGCTCGGGATGGCCCGAGATGGCCCGGATGGTGACCCCATGACGCCGTTTGTCAACAATGAACCACTTCGTTTTTAGACCTGGGTAAATACTTAGTAAATACTGCATTACTAAAAAAGTGATATATATATATATATATACACATTATACATCAATATACATATACCGCCCCTTTTTGGGGCTACCCTATTTTTGAAGCCATGTCGGACTGTCGAGGATCGTGACCAGAAGATTCAGCAACTCGAGGCCTTGCGGATCTCGCGCACTGATCCACCAGCCGACGCCATTTCTTCTCAGCTCGGACCACTCTGCCGTGAGCTTGAGACAACAGGCGTCCAAGACCAGGCGCCGTTTCTCGGAACACAGGCCCCAACAGACCTCGGGCAGAGCTTGGTGATTTTCGGCTTGGGATCATCCTATTGAGCGTCTGTAATTGTTTTTAAAAAAAAAGTGACACCGAAAATGGTCCATTTATAGTCTACTAGAGGGTATCATAGGGTATCCTACTATATCAATATCATTCAATATCTATCAATGATCATCCCTTGGGGGAAATTGCGATGAAAAATCTCTGTGCTGTATAAATCATGTTCACCTAAAATCTTGAAGTATTGACAAATCTCAAATTTCACCTGAAACATTGGCCTGAAAAACCCTTTTGAAAAAACCATGAAAACCGCCGCAAAGAAGACCTCGGATGGTTGCTTCTGTCCAGATTCCCTCGGCCCCCCCATCTTAGCCAGGCACATCTGCCGTGGAAAGACTTTGGAAGGGAGCCGGAAGCGAGCCATCTGGGACATGTCGTGCCAGGTCACAGCCAATGTCAACCTGGATTCGACGGTCAACTAGCGGTTCATTCTATAGTGTGGGTCAAGCAATACTAAACCATCCCCAATTTAATCATTAATGGGTGGTATAAACCAACAAGATATGGGTGGTTTATTACTTGATTTGCTTAGTTTTTCAAAAAACTGTTCAAAACTCATAAACCCATCCTGAGTCAACGTGGCCTTGCTTATGCTACTTTCAACCAGGTTCCCAACATCTTCCAGCCTGCTTGCCAAGTAGGATGGTTTCCTAGTTCCCGACCATGAACACCCGGACGACGAGGATGTCGTTGTTAGCTTCGATGTTATCACTAAACCGAGGAAATGTAGGAATAATGTAGTAAAATATAGATAAATATAGGAATCATGATCCCATGGTTGGTCTGCCCATCCCATGGTTGGTCTGCCCAGCTTTCTTGATAAAAGTCACTTAAGGAACTGAAAGACATGGCTCCGGTGGTAAACTGTGAAGCCGCTCCGCTCTGCAACATGTGGATTCCAACTTGTGGGCATGTAGAGCTTGCTTGCTCCATCATGATCGCCCAAGAAAATGGGGGAGATGGAAACATCAATGCGACAGCATGCTACAATGGACCCTCGATCTCCCATCCAAAACATCACCCAGGCAGCCCAGGCCCAGGTACAGTTGACAAGGCCACCACCAAACGAGTCGTTGCCAGATCTCCTTCTAGGACCGGAATCAAAGGGGAAAGCCTATCTGACACAGCGCTGCAGGCAGCGATGTGCTCTTGCAAGTGAACCAGCTCACCCAGATCCACGTTCTCAGCATTTCCCGTGGATGCCAATGGGCTGGTGTCCTCTGCGAAAGGAAACTCTCAAAGGACTGGGAAAAAAGGATGAATCATGAATCCACATGAATCCAGGCGTCACGTCCTGTCAGACCTTACTTTCAATGTTCAATCATGATAGTCCCACCAGCTCCCGTAGTGAAAGGCTGAAAACCACGCTTTAATAAAAAGGTGGCGTCCTGTGCATCTGGATCCTCATATTTCGCCAGCAGTCTTTCCAGTTGCTCACTGAGGCTCTCCCCCTCTTCCTCTTCCTGCACCATCGACAGAACTGACGTTGAGCACAGCATCTCAAAGCTACCTTCAGACGACGTATCATCAGTATCTGACTGTATCATTTACGTCATGGAAACTCGTAGAACAATTGGCAAAAAAACAAGAAAAGTCCCACGTGTGTCGAAGGGGACTAGGCTGTCTTGAGCCCTTCCTGACCTCCCATTCAGTGACATGAAACATCACACTTTCAAGCAATACAGTGAGATATACTTTCTGAGCATACAGCATAAATCTAAACGGCGTGAAAGGAAGAACTTATTCACTTCATTATCCCCAAACCTTGTCTGCTTTTCGTGTCGAACTGAAATCCTCGGGGGGGGGGCAATCAGGCCTTTGGCGGCGCAAAGGTGTCAGCAGTTTCCTGCGAGAATTGGGGCAGTTTTGCATGAGGTGAAATTCATGGCTAGGCTTGGACACCCAGCAAAAAGATCCCAAAATGGTTTTAGGTGGTTTTAAAGAGATATATATATATATACGTATATATATATATATATATATAAGGATAAACAAGGTACAATCACTCTTCTGCGTCCAAATTGCAGACAACTAACAAATGAACCTGCCATTCATCAGCACAGTTTTCTGGGACAAGTTTGGGGGGAACTCATCCCCGTTGACTCCAGGACTACTCCCAAACTGCAAGAAAATTGGGAAGATCTGCATTTCACAACAAACTTCCGAGGTAGATCTTGGTCAAATCCACAACAGGGGGGTCATCCTGGCTGCCAATGCCCAGAGTCCATCAGAGTCCAAGATGCCCAAGACCATACCACACAAGAAAAAACTGCTCTTGGGAGGGAAGGCCACTCCAAAAAATCACCATCTTCTGCAATAATTCTTCCATATATTGGCTTTGTCTGGCAATAGGCTACCCACCCCAGAATTCATGGAGTATCATCATGTTCATTCATTTTTCCCTCTATCCATGGCTATTTGTGGGTACTGTATCCATGGCTATCCCCTAAAAAACCAGGCCCTGACTCCCGCGCCGCGTCCGCGCATCCGTCCTCACAGAAACGAGCGCTGGCCTTCAGCGACTCCAGCAGAGAGTCCGCCAACCCCAGGCATCGCTCGTCCGGCAATTGCCCAAAAGATGCCTTGAGGCCGGGTCCTGGGTCCATCCTGGGTCCAGGCTCCACCCTGGGTCCTGATATGTCCTCATAATCTTGGCCCTGAAACATCTCAACGACGAATCCGAAGTTCTTTCAAAAGCCTTTTGCTGGGCTTTTTCAAGCCACAAAACATGTTGAAGGAATCAGGATCACCCCCCAAAACATCTCAAAAAGCCACGAGTTTTCCCAGTCATTACCAGGCCTGAACATCATCCGGCAAGCACCTCAGGAGCTGAATCGATTTTAAATCCATTGTGACTTAAACATAGTATTTTATCATTAGAAATGAGTTGTCATTAGAATTCTACTGATTATATAATTGTGATTTAAAACCTCTGAAATGATTTTTTTTAATAAAAAACATAACTATTTCATCGTATTTTTCGCATCCCTAGGGATCCTGAAAGGTGATAAATCACCAATGGATGTGGTCCCAGCCTCTCATCCAGCCAGCTGAGAAGAATCTCCTAACGATGGGTCGAGAGCGGTGCGCGGTCGCTGGGTGCTCCGGTGATTTTTTTGAAGCCACTGGTTGTTGCTTAAGCAAATGACGGATCATGTGTTGCAGATGTGATAGGGATGATGATATATGATGTCACTAATTATGTAGTATTCCTTTCTTCTTTGAAACATGCAGTAGACCTTAAAAGACAAATCTTGTTGTTGATATATTCCAAAAAAAGAATCTCACTTCCAAACCCTTTTGAAAGTGCGGAACACTCCTTGAAAGAAGGAGTGTTCCTACCATGCAAATGTTGCAGGATCGCTTCAAAGGCTGTACTTTTCTGTAAGGCAATGTATATAATGAAAAGTGATTTTGAACCTTTGGCAAACCTGCCAAACAGAGTGAGTCGCAACGAAAATTCTTGCCCCCAAATAAACATGTAAGACATGTCTCAAGACTACAATCTAGTGCAGGGTCAGGGCCAGGAATTTGAGTGGAAGGAAAAACAATGGAGTAGTGACGCAAAAAAGTGGGGGCTCTTTTGGGACTAAGCCACCAGAGAATGGGGTATTACCTCCCGAATGGCAATTTGTATGGAAAACATGATGGTAACCCATCGGAATTTCCGGGTATCCCATTTTCAGGCAATGGGATCAGTGGGGTCCCGCCATGATCACTTTGGCTGTGGCTATGTACACCTATATGTCTGTGATATATGCAAATGTATATGTTTATCTGAATGTACCTCTACATGTGTATATATATATATATGATTTATGTTTATGTTTATCTCTAGATATGTATATCTACATGTGTGTGTACATGTATAGTGCACTGTAGGAGCATACATTACAGTATGCATGCATAAATACATGTTTCATCATATGTGTGTACACATATTATACACATAAAATCACATTGTGATATGTCTAGAGTCTATGCTATGCTATGGTAATCCGACAGATATTTGGTTGAGTATGCTTTGCTCAGTTCTGCACGGGTTTTTCCGAGGCTCGGGAATTGGGGACTTGTTCTCAACTGGAGGCAGTTCTTCCGCTGCTACCTCTTCGGTCTGTGGCGTCTCTTCATCTTGGGTCTCCTCCTGTCAAAACGCCACGGGCTGGGTTCAACAATAGAACAATGCTTGTGAATCACATCGGAACAAGGATTCCCATAGTTCTCCCGGAAAAAAAATGAAGCAAGGAACACAAATCTTTGGACACTCGAACTAAAAAAAAAACGAAAAACTTAACGACATGGAATCGCCAAATTGCCATCTCCAATTTCGAAAAAAAAAAGTGTCAGTTAACCCAGGTCTTGTGAGTTCCCAATTTTTCTCTGTAAAACTGTAGGTTTTGCTCATCCCGTCCCCATCATATTCCTATCTCCCCACCACTGGCTATCGGTTTTGCTGAAGTCACTCCCCCAAGAGGACTCCTCCCAGTATAGTTGCCACATGTCCCTCCCAGGTCAAAGTTCGAACCCAGCCGATTCAAGATGAGCCAGCCAGCTCACACCCCGCCAGCTCATCTGATTTTTTGCTATGCAAAAAATGAAAGAAAAAACATTCTTTGATAGGTAAATTATGGTTTGCCTGATCTACAAATGAGCCGTGTTCCAGTTCGATATCTTATAGATGGTTATGGGTCAAAACCCTGGTACCCTCTGGTACCCTAAAATAGCTGGTTGATAGATGGTGATTCCCTCTATGGTCACAATATATATTATATATATATAGGTTTTGACCCATCCCCAGATTACCAGAGGCTAATTCAAATGATCACCGGACCATCATGGCTACCCTTAGAACACCACACGACCCTCGAAAAAAACTTCAGTGATCAAATGGAGATCAAGTTCTTGCGATGGTACCATGTTTTACCACAGTACAAATAGAATGCAGACCCAAATCCTACTCCAACCATCCCGATTTTGGAAACACCTCCCCCCAAACAAAAATAGAGTGGTCAAAATCCAGCCGTTTGAATTTGACACCTGCAAAAAACGCTAGCCCGCTTTTACCACTCGACTCATCATTTTCCCCAATCAGATTGCCGTAAGTTGGGGGTAGATCTCCATTTTCAGACCTATTTCACGCTTTCCCCACTTTCCTCGTTGCCATCTTCATGCCGTGCTAGCAGGAGATCAGCCGTGGCAAAATAGGCCAGGCAGTCCTTCTCGAGTGCTTCTCCTGAAAGCCAACGGCGGAAGATTCAAACAATTACGAACAGTGCTGATGTTGATTAGTGAATATATGTACATATATCGGGTCATTCATGGATTTATGGATAAATCATGATAAATGTACATATGTATATATGTATGTATATATGTATGTATGTATGTACGTATGTATGTATGTATGTATGTACGTATGTACGTATGTACGTATGTACGTATGTACGTATGTACGTATGTACGTATGTACGTATGTACGTATGTACGTATGTACGTATGTACGTATGTACGTATATACGTATGTACGTATGTACGTATGTACGTATGTACGTATGTACGTATGTACGTACGTACGTAGGTATGTATGTATGTATGTATGTATGTACGTACGTACGTACGTACGTACGTATGTATGTATGTATGTATATATATGTATACATATATATATATATGGTACCCCCCCAAGACCGACCTTTCAAGCAAATTTAGTGGCATTTACAATGTTTTTTCTTAACATTTTGAACTCTAAAACTTAGGGCATTTTTTGGTGATCAAAGCTTGCAACTTTTTGTAAGTTTGTTCCCATCCCACCCTTCCCTAAGTACATCGGATTCAAGATTCAAAATTCAAGATCTCAAAAAAAAATCTTGAATCCAAGGGGGTAGGATTCAAGATTCAAGATCCCAAAAAAACTTCTTGAACCCAAAGGCCTTCAGCCTTGAAACTTGAATCTTGGATCCAAAGAGGTTGGATTGAAGAAGTTTTTTCTGAGCCTTGAAACTTGAATCTTGAATCCAAAGAGGTTGGATTGAAGAAGTTTTTTCTGAGCCTTCAATCTTGAATCTTGAATCTTGAATCTAAAGAGGTTGGATTGAAGAAGTTTTTCTGAGCCTTGAAACTTGAATCTTGAATCTAAAGAGGTTGGATTGAAGAAGTTTTTCTGAGCCTTGAATCTTGAATCTTGAATCTAAAGAGGTTGGATTGAAGACGTTTTTTTCTGAGCCTTTAATCTTGAATCTTGAATCCAGGTACTTAGAATAATATTAGTCACCAGAATTTGCAATTTCTTTCAATTTCTTGCAAATCATCGGCCTGTCTGCTAAGGACATTCCGCAAATAAACTTGGTTATCCTGTTAAAGATAAATTCTAAAACCCATTATTTTTGTCGTTGCTTTCCAAGCAAATCAATCAATTTTGGAAAAAATAACGAAAAACATGTTTAAAAAATGTAATAAAGGTCATTAGATTAATCATAATAAAGTAAAATAAATTGAAAAAGAACCTTCTGCAATCTTAAACAATAATTTATTTAACAAGCAAGAAGAAAAAATAAGCAAAAATAAGTAAAAATACATGAACTCATCCGATAGCAATACCTCTTTAAAGATTTTTTTCTTTAAAGAAAAAAACATGGTTGCAATTTATGTTTAGAAAAAAGGTAATAGTCTATGAAAACCCTGAAATGCGATCAAAGTTCACATCACAAAATGGTAGAATATTATCATTAAAAAGTACAAACCAATCAATCTGAAAAAAGAACATATTCACGATAAAAAATAGTTTAATGAACTTGAAACTAGATCCTCAGAATATAGAGCTAAAAGAAACAATAAAAATATAGGATCTTTCGAAATAAAAATACATATTCACCCAATGCTAGAAACTCCTATAATACCTATAAAAATATCACAAAATTGAGGACTATAAATGACAAATATATTAAAAACTAATATAGTTTTTTCGTTTTTACTTATTAATTTATTATCATCAAAATCATTTATGTGTAACAAATAATATATCTAACTCAAGCACTCCTGGATTTAAAGCAATGAAATTACAAGATCATCTACATTATACAGATTTTAAAAATGAATTATTACGGAAAACATCAACTCTTTTACAACAAAAGTGTAGATGCTGAAGAAAAAGCTAATGGAAACAACGCAGATTCACAAGAACAAATAAGACAATTAACATGAAATGAGAATATGATTGAATATTGCCAATTTACTATGCAAAGCTTGATGGAATGTGATGAAATTGTAGGAGGATCAAAAAGGTAATTGCATTATAAAATCAATATGTCTAAAAATTATACCTGGAGATCAGTCTTATACATATCTATTGTACTTTTTACACCTTTATTATCTGCAAAATCTTACGTAAAAAAAATGTAAAATCTCAAGATGCACTAACTATATCATCTAATCTTGCACAAAGCTCAGCTTTGGTAGAAGCTAAAAGGTTCAAACTGCTACAGAAAATTCAGTAAACATGAATTCCACCAGTAGTCAAAAACTACCTTACGAAAAGTTGTATTCATCAAAAAATGTAAAAATACGATGCTATACTCTGTTGCAAAGACAGATAACAAAATTTCAATACATCTATTCCCCTAATCATATTGCTGCAAATACTAAAGGTTATGTAAAAAATACCAAATGTTGTAGAAGATATTGAAAAGGCAGACTTGCAAGAATCAGATCATAGATACAAAATTCGTGTTGATATATTAAAAATGCCTGAACACATAAAAAAGACAACATTACATATAATGAAATAAATATGTCGAATATGGATGTTACAGCGCTACTACGCTGCAGCTACATATGTGGGCAGGATGTGTCCAGGCGCATACGCCCAAGATACTTTCCTGATGCAGTGCTACAATAGGTGATAAGATAAGAAGGAAGACAAGGCATTCAAGGAGGTCTTGGGGGAGTTGCATATATATATACAGTATATATATATATATATTTGGTTTCACCATTTGTGATTACTGATTAGTTAATCTTAATGATTCCTTCAAATAAAGCCATACTGTTGGGAGCAACAACGAAAAAAATACTGGTGGATGTTACAAGCTAACGTGGAGAGGCTTCCAACCAGATGTGCCCAGTTGCGGCCCACCAGGATTCCGACTCATGGATTCCCATGATAGAAAGCCCCAAACGGGCCCCGTTGGGGGCAGCCAGTCACCCAGCACAAACATGCTCAGGATGTACACCAAACCATGTCCATTCTTGTCCATTCGCATCCATAAAATGCATAAAACATCCTCCGACTTTGGAGGGTCCAAAGTGAAATGGAAGTTTCCTGAAATGGGGCTATATACCCCAAAATGGATTGCAAAGGACAATCCTATTAAAATGGACGATGAACAGGGGTACCCCCATTTTAGGAAACCTCCAACTGGAACAACGGGAAAAACCGGGCAGCACTACATCCTGCTCAACTATGGCTGGTCTCAGATACCTTTCCCGTCGCCTGGCCTCCGGGAAATTCCAGTTGCGGACTGGAACATGTCCCGTTTAATATATATATATATATACACACACACATTGGGGGCTTCCTGAAATAGGAGTACCTCCCAAATCATCCAAGTCATAGATGTCCATTTTAGTATTGAAACATATTGAAACATATTGTTTCACAACCATGGTGACGACTGGGGATCCCCCATGACTTAGGAAACCTCCATATCTACTAAAGATGCTGCTGTTCGCTATGCGAAATTGCCAAGTCACCCTCGAGCTCCGCCCGTCTCTTCTCAATCTCGGCCATCTCCTTCTCCCATTCTTTGGCCTTAAAAAAAGCCGCAGCTTGTTTTGGATCCCAGGTGGATCTTTCACTTCCCAGCTATCTTGGTGACACCAAAATCTGCCATCTTCTGCCTATGTTTTCATGTTGAATCCGATAACCTCCTTAGAGACCCCGCAAAGAAGTTATAGATGTCAGACGATGTCAGATCCTTTTTGGCCAAAAGTCAGATACCCAACATTCCTCCATGTATGGCCACCAAAAAGGACCCACCCTGAGCATTCTCGGCCTTCCTCTCATTCTCCAGTTTGAGCTCTTCAGCCCTGGCTTTCGCAGCGGCCTGCTCACCTGGGATCATATGGATCATCATCTCTTCCAGAATCATCGAACCACCAAAGTGGCTTTGGTTTTGGGTTTTGGGGGGAATTTCCACAGTGTCACAGATTTTCACAGTAACCCGGCTCCTTTCTTTCCGCAAAAAGCGGAAGGATAAACTCACCAACCCTGGCTGCCATCAGCCAAGCATCCCTCCGCGCTGGAAGAAATGCCATGATTCTAAAAAATGTTTTTTTGGCAAAACCCGCAAAACCATGGCAAAAACCTATCAAAACCCCTACATAATTCACACCCAAAATCGCTGGTATTTGTGGACGTGCCCCAAAATCTTCCCCCAAAAAATGGTGGTTTGATCCATGGGAGGCGCCCAAAAGCTCCGGAGGAGCCCAGTCACGTGCTCTTTCCTCGTGAATTCGTTGTAAGCGAGCGTGCCCTGGCTCCTGGTAGGCTTCCAATGGCGAATCTTGGAAGGTGCTGAAAAAAAAACCCTGCTAGTGATAGTCACAAGGCTGATTTCTTGGGATATGTTGGGATTTTTATTTCGTTGAACCATTTTCCACCGTATCTGGGGGGCAGCAAGCCTTTTTACATCCTTTTGTGAAATACCATATTGAGATTCATCACAGGTTAATCACATCACCGTTTTGGCACATCCACTTACTAACTGCGATGACTTTCTGACCCTTATCGTTTACACTTTAGCTATCATATCAATAGATCCGGGGATCATCTTCGATGCTATGTCCGTCGTTTTCCCTTGCAAGTGGCCGTTTGGAGGTACACAAATTCAAACACCAAGGAAGGACGTTCACGGTTCGCAAAATCAAAGCACCAATCTGGTTCCATTCAAAAATCACCCGGCCAGCCGAAAGCCGCATTTGAATGGCCATGTCCACAGCCACATGTCCTCCGCGGGTGTTGAAGGTTCGCAAATGGAGCGAAACCAGTCCTCAGGCATTGCCAAAAATTGAGGGCGGAAACCGCTTGCCCTCAGAGGTTCTATAAAAAGATGATCCATCACGATGTGAGTCCAACACCCATGCTTGATGTGGGAACACCCATGCTTCGATGTTCAATGTTCACGAAAAGTTCACTGCCATTACTTTCCAATATGTTGTTTCTTTACCTGAAATTACCTGCCGGAAAAGAACTAGACCTAATCTTGTTCTAACTTTCATAAAACTGTGATTCTCAGCTTTGAATCAGGGGCAACTAGATGATGACAGTTAATTTTCAAGATTTCCATGGGTTCTATAGTACTTGGATATCTCTTTGTGTCAGGGGCGAGCATGAAGCCTACCCAGAAAAACCCTTCTTGATACCAAGGCTCACCCAGAGAAAGGATGCCATCACCACCTTTGCATCCACGAAATGGGGCCCTTTTTGAGAACTGCTTGCGCTATTTGAAACATTCTGTTTATGCCATATGTTATAGATGTTATAGTGAATTAGTTGATTGTGAATGAGTGTAATAACTAATAACTGTATATTATATATATATATATATTATATTATATTATATTATATTATATTATATTATATTATATTATATATATATATATATTATATATTATATTATATATATATATTTTATATATTATATTATATATATATATGAATTTATAAATGTATGAAAGATCTTTATAGTTCGAGAAATCCGAACGATGACTTTATCCATGAAATTGTCCAAGATCCACCGAGGTGAGGCACCCAATTTTGGTGGAAAATCCTGGGATTTTTGTCCCAAGATTTTGGAAAATCAATGGAGAATCAATGGAAATCGATGAGTTCAATCATGGAAAATCGATGGAAAATCGATGGAAAATCGATGGAAATTGCTCTTCCGAACGTCGTGACTTTTATGATTTTTATTCAAGTCATGCGCAGGGGCAGGGGATGGCAGGGGCATGACATGATGATAGCATGATCACCAGTATCGGTCCGCCTTCCAAAGTGATCAGATTGGCCGTGTTGAGTCGGTGTAAGACCCCATAACGAACACGTTTTAGAGTCACAGCGTAAAAATGTGAGTAGAAGTAGAGACGCTTTAGCTTTATTCTGGCCACTATAGCCTATCTCAACCAGATTTGTCACAGTTGGAAACTTTTGAACCATTCGATATGTGGATGTGTCAAAACAGGGGCGCCAGTTGACAAAAAAAAATCAGTTTTAGTATCTAAACATTCAAATTTGATGGCAATGATTTGAGCCACAGCCATATGATGGTATGGTTTTACAACATGTTATCGTGCTCAACAGCAAAATGGCTAGGAAATTGCTGTTCACATGGATGGTCCATTGAATGGATCACCAGCTATCCCCACCATTTACCCTCTGGTAATTTAACATAGCTATGGAAAATCACAATTTTTAATGGGAAAATCCACTATAAATGGCCATTTTCAATAGCTATGTTAGTTTACCAGAGGGTATTATGAATTACTATAGTTGGAGATTGAGGAATGATACAAGACTAGTCACTATCCCCATCAGTACCCTGAAAATAGTTGCCAGAAAATGGGCGAAATGTTGACAAAAAAGAGAAACTGGACAAAAATATCCCCCATCATCTGGCAGAACTTGCTCGCTTGCTTTCCAGTACTACCAGGTTACTACCATCTGGTTATTTAACATAGCCATGGAAAATCACCATGTTTAATAGGTAAACCCAGGTAAACCATCTATTTCGATTAGGGCCATCTACAGTATACCATGGCTAGCCCTGTTAGTCATAACCGGAATTTTTGGGGATGACCCCGGCCCGAAAAGTGGAGGTCATGGTGCAGCTACACTGCCCACTGAGGCGACTCATAGGAGATCCGCCAAAGAGCCTCCGCCAAAAGCGCTGGGGAATGGCAACACCAACCGATCCGCAACGACTCATGGCTGGCTTTCCATGGCCATAGAATATGACTAACTTTGTTTGGGGGAAATATATCATTTTTGAAATCATTGAAAATCGTCCTGAAACTGATGGTTGAGTGGTGCTACGTGGGTAGAAAAGTGGGAAAGGCTGTTCGGTTGCCGCTTTCAATTCATACAAAATTCTTGGAGGTGTCATGTGCGCGCGCCGTACGTGGTGGTCCCCCATGGACACAACAGAAAAATCAGTGTTTTCTTCAGGAAATGCATATTACTACTATCTATCTGTTTGGGGTAAGCCATGGTAAGCCTATCATCAGCCTGCAATGCAGGGGACTTCAGAAAGTTTCGAATTTGGCGTGTGAAAAGAGTGAAATTGAGCCACACATTTGACAATTCAATGCATTTTGGGCAGTTGAGGTATGGCCGTATGGCCCACCCTCCCGCTTTCCAAGGCCTGGAGAGACTGCTTCGCTCACCGATTTGTGCACTGCCACTACTTTCATCAGTTTTCCAGCTGGATTCCAAAGGTAGCGCCTCTGCCACCATGGCTGCCATGGCTACCGTTACCGCTGTTGCGATAACACCAGGCGTGAGTCGGCGTGAGCTGCCAACAGGGTGAAGATGTTTGCATTGTATGGCTATTGTGTGGAGCGTTTGAACCAAGGACCTGGGAAAGAAACATCTCTGAAACAAAGAATTGCTGAAAGTTGAAAGCGTGATTTTTATCGTGAAGTCTCATGTCAGTCATCACAAATGCTTGAAAGAAAGAAGTCAAAAAGTCAAATCGCAGATGTCTTTGAAACAGATCGCATGAATAGTGTGCAACCCATTCAAATTCGCCTTTGAGCCGCTCGACTTGGTGTCATGGTGGTTGACCCATGTCCTGGCTGAACTCTCTATGCCACCCTTTGAACTTGGTATGGGAGGCAAACTGTCCATGGGTAAGGTCTAGTTCGCAAAGATATCATTAAATCATATAAAATCTCAGTGGATGAGTTCCGGACTGAAGTGGAGAATCTTCAATTGCCATATTTCATGCTTTTGACTGCTGACTGCGGGTCTCTCAGGCGCAGAACTTGGCATGCTTCGAAGTTCAGCCAAGAATTCGGGCTCATCCCCAGAATCTTTGGTCCAGTGTACCAGCACTACCAGCACAGTGTCTGGGTGTCCGTGCCCAGGTAGTGAATGGGACTTGGCGGAGGGTTGGCCTTCAGCCAATCTGTGGATATCTGTGGTCTGTTTTTCTGCGCGGTAAAATGTTTCACCATCCATGGGGCAACAACCGTCTCCGGGGGTAGAGTATTTAAGAATAGGGGTACACCCACTAGGTCCCAGTGGTATCCCCAACAGCGCACAAAGGTAGTGGGGAAAATGCACCACCACGCTGGAACCTAAACCACCCCCCCCCCACGCACCTACGAGGGAACCCAAACCAGAACCAACCATTTTTCCGTGAAACCACACGGAATGACCCGGCATCACCCTGCAAGCTGCACCAAAATCTCCAATCCAATCCGGAACCCACACTGGAACCACCACACAGATCAGCACCAAATGGACAGCCCACCCAGACCGGAAGCCCCTAAGCTAATGCCATTAGAAAATTCATACTCATCCCTGATTCTGGTCATTGAAAGACAAGAGGAACCCAGGCCAAAAGCAGCCAATGGTGACCCGAGCCGACTCCCACCTTGGAGTTGATCACGTACCCAAGAGGTGTCGGATTTGGGTAAACTAGGAACATATCAGTGACTCGGCAACAGGACTCCAAGGGGTTGGAAATTCTTCGGGAAGTCTGGTGATCGACATCCCCGCCAGTATTCCCATCTTTTTGTGAGACCCAAAAAAAACATCAATCATTCCATTGCGAGGGGTGTGGGATATCATTTTCCTCCACCAAACTGACTCAAGGATGAATCTTGCTCGCAGCCAACCACTCACCAGCAACGCATTAACCAGTTGGCTGGATTTTCATGGCTAAATTCCCCCAGAATCGTGTTGTAAAAAAGCGATCTTCTGAATCATACCTGACTATGCTTCATCTGTGGTGGGCAACCCTCTTATTTCAGTAACTCCTTGGTTCATTTTGTTGGTGGACGATGGTGCACCATAGCTGCTTTTGTAGATTTAATAATGGTCCAGTGATGAATCAGGAAATAATTGCAATATTCTGCAATTATATAGTGGACTAAGATAGTGCAATTCGTGTAAAGCCAGAAGTGCAGGAACCAGTTGCGCCACCAGTAAATCACTTGGGCATCCATTAGTTCTATTTCATTGTCGCGTGTTTTTTCCCCGGTAAATACTTCGCAACCACCCTCTGGTAAACATACAAAAAACGATGGAAAATCACCATGCTATTAATGGGAAAACTCACTACACATGGCCCATTTTCATCCATTTTCCATAGCTATGTTAGTTTACAAGAGGGTAGCATGTGGTCGGAAAACTCCACTCGTAACTCCAGCTGTGGGTCTTTTTCAATACGGGAACCAATCCACTGGTGAATCATCATGGTGTTTTTTTCGCTTCCCGAAAGCCAGTTGGGGGTAGACCTCATTTTCAGACACCCAGTCATCATATGAAGTTGCTTGTAGATCCCAACTGAACATCATGAACTCCGAATATCCCATGGGTTGCCTATCTAGCCTATCCCAGTCATGAAATCCCACGAATTGCTCAGTGCCCCCATGAATTTCATCCATTTCATCCCAGCAAATCGCATCTAAATCGCCCACCTTAAAGAGCTCGATGGAAAAGCTCAGATTCCATCGATCGTCTGAGAGGATCCGTTGGATGCGCGGTGGCCTCCTGGGAGGTGCCTCGACAGATCCAGGGAGACTTCAGATCTCATCCAATACCCTCTGGTAAACTAACATAGCTATTGAAAATGGCCATTTATAGTGAGTTTTCCCATTAAAAACGGCCATTTTCAATAGCTATGTTAAATTACCAGAGGGTACATATCCCATGACGGATCCTAATGGTGCTGCAAAAAAATGGTGCTCCATGGATCACATATTTTACCATCAATATACCCCAAATGTTAGCATATATACCAGCACCATGGATCCTATGGGTATGTATATACACATTATAGAATATTACGGCCAGGCGCTGTGTGTTGCCCGGAAGGTTCAAATGGCGTTTAAACATGTTTAAACATTATCCTTCAACATGCTCAAACACCTGCGCAGGGCCAGTGTTTTGAGATTTCCCGGACGACGAACCCTAAACCCTAAAACCCTAAGCCATCCTAAACCCTAAAACCCCAAACCCTAAAACCCTAAACCCTAAAACCTAGGCTCTGAAAACTTTGAATCCTGAACTGGAAAACACTGCGTATACGCAGTATTTTCTGCCATCTCTCCTATCATATATTCGACAGCACGACATTCTCAATGTTAATGTCTGGGCAACACACGGCGTATGTGGGTAATAATATACATATATATATATATTATATATATATATACACATATTGTACTAATGTATGTTCTATTCATGTACATAGACTACCATTAGATAGCTATAGCTAGATCATGATAGGTAGACATTGCGTCACGAAAAAATCGGACCGTTGAGAAGCCCCACGAAGGTCAAAGGCACCGGCTCAGAGATACCACCTGGCTCAGCTGATGTCATCTGGCGCTGGGAACTCCCGATTTTGACCTATTTTTTCCAAAAGGGAAACAAAAATGGATCAGGAAAGTGCTTTGATTACCAAAGGCTGCATGTATTCTTGGGAAAATGGATGGATTTGGATGGATTTGGATGGATTTGGATGGATTTGGATGGATTTGGGGTCTTTCTTTGCAAGTAAATATAGGGAACATCAATGGGAACTCAATGGCGACCTGCCGGGAATGTTTCGTCCCATCTTTCGCATCGATGTTTAGGGAGAGATTTGCATCGATAAATGCATCGAAAAACCACTACTTGGTGGCGAAAATCCCACTTACTATAACTAGTTGGTGGTTGACCTACCCCTCTGAAAAATATGAGTCAAATTGGATCATCATCCCAGCTATTGGGGAAAATATAAAATTCATGTTCCAGTCACCACCAACCAGATAAGTATCGAAAAAACAACCGCAGTTATAAGTGGAAATCCACCCGACTTGTCCCACGAACATCACCAGGGTGAACTGTCCCCTACTTACGATTGGGATGATCCTCCAAGTAGATCGTATCGCGGTCTAGTCGGTAGACGTACGCAGCATAGACATAGACACCAAACAAGCAAGCAGGGTAGACAAGCAGACACACAAAGATTTGGACACGTAGAAAAGAACAGAAAGAGAAGAGGAAGTCAGGACTGAAAATGGGCGCCCCCAAATCCCATGATGAATCTGACATGAATCCGGGGTCAAATTGCCGGTGGCGAAATTCCCAGTCAGACAAACCCAACAGCGATGTCCGAAAGTTTCGAACTGTTTGAGATTTTGAGCTTCACGCCTCAAATTGACCTCCGATTAGAAGAGGTCACAATCCAGAAAATAGATCGAATCAACCTATCCTTCCCTCGGGTGTTTTTGGATCGTGATCCAGCAGCTCGACGGGCCGCCTGCCCAGCAGCATGGATGAGCTTTGGAACGGTCTCGAGCGCAAAGCCGAAATCTGCGCAGTGCTGCCGGCTGACCCCGTGGATAACTACTTGGTGATTGAGCCACCCCACTGGAAAATATGCTGAGAATTTGGGATCATCATCGCAGGTAGGGATCGCAGATACAAAATCATTCAAGCCACCAACCGGATTTGTACACTCTGTTGATTGATTAGGGGTTGGCGCCCAAAAAGTGAGCAAAGGCTACTAGGATGTATTAAAATGGTGTCCCTCTCCGCAAAGTGAGGGGCCAAAAAAATCCTGGGACCGGCCATTCTGGCCAGCACCTCACTCTTGACACGCGAGACGCCATGGGGTATAGTGGCGTGGTGACATCACTCCTCGATGTTTAGGATCTTCAAGGGTTTTGGGTATTCCAATATTGGAATGTCAGTAAAATGGATATCCTAAACAATATCCTATGTCAGTAATATGCAAGTAATTGGGATATTCCAATATTCCAGTGTTCTTCCATTTTACTGACATTCCAAAAAAACTTGCACATCTCACAAGAAAATCAATCACACCATTCGGCTAGATCTCCCGAAAAAAAGTACATGCCCACCCCGGCAACAGCATGCAAGTGGGAACACCTTGCAAGTGGGTTTGCATCGTCTCATCCTCCACATCACCAGTCAATGTTGTGGGCCCAGCTTCAAACATCAACCATCAAACCATCGCATTACAGTGGTGTGGCCATGAGGTCGTTACAATTCACCCATATATACGTGTATCATGGGTATCCTAGAATAGGGCTAGCGGCTACCCCGAATCATCCATTTGTGTTTGGGATTTTCCATGAAATCAACCATCCAGCGAGCTTGGGGTACCCCCATGACTATGGAAACCCCCATCCCAAAACCTTGAAACCTCCTTGATGGAACCTTGCTCCAATGGATATTTTCGCATCATAGCCATCCCAAATTGGTGCTCTCAACCGGGGACTGTGATGAGTCCTCATCAGGGGATACCCTCCGCCAATCAAACGTGGCTGACTAAATCACCGAACTCAATGGAGGTGGATGTTCAATCCCCAAGTGTATCATTGGGTGGTTTCATCCAATATATCCTCTGGTAAACATACAACAAACTATAGAAAATCATCATTTTTTATAGCTAAATCAACTATAAATAGCCATTTTCAATAGCTATGTTTGTTTACCAGAGGGTATGGTTCAAATAAGATCACTGAGATTCGTATATTGGTTCTTCTGGTTCTCCAATCTTCAAATGTGTTTCACTTTAGATACTTGAGAGTCGGGCGTGCAAATGGGTCATACCCATGGCAATTCTCCATGGTGAATCGTTTGATTGAGAGGTCCATTTTTGGACAAACTCATAAAGATCCCAGATTCTACGGGGCTTACATGTTGATTTGACCAACCAAAACTGACATGTATGTCATAAAACCCAAAAAACTATGGCTAGCTTGTGGTGTCAACGCCCTACAACATATTGCCAAAAAAAGTTGGTATCATCCCACCAAAGTTGTTCAACAAAACGCATTTGAAACCAAACAGAAACCATATAAATGAATATTGAGTAGTACATAGCAATATATAGTTATATATATATATATACATATGGTGGTGGTATAAAATGGTGGTACCCCTATCCTTCATCCAAGTCATTAGACCACAAAATGGTATTGAAACCTATGAGAACTTGGGGAAAGCATGGCCCCGTGTGCCTCACCACGTCCGGCAGCTTCCCCTTGCCAGGCTTCAGGTCCGAAAGCTCAGCGGAGACGATGACCTGGAAATATGCTCGATGGCTGAGCATGGGCCCCATGGGCAAAATTCCTCCCAGTTCATGGAAAATACAACTTAATGATGGTTAATACTGGTTAATGATGGTTAATAGTGGTTGGTGATGGTTCATACTTGTTAATGATGGTTAATACTGGTTAATGATGGTTAATAGTGGTTGGTGATGGTTCATACTTGTTAATGATGGTTAATACTGGTTAATGATGGTTAATACTGGTTAATGATGGTTAATACGACTTAATGATGGTTAATACTGGTTTTCATAAGGGCCAATCATATTCAATCATGGTCAATGTCATGGTTGATGATGATTCCAGTGATGAGTGATGAAGTTGATGATGTATGATGATTAACAATGCTTGATGATGGTTGATGCTAAAAATCATTATTGGTCATGGATGATGATGGTTGATGATAATGGATGACAAACGATATTGATTAAGTGATATATATATATTATTATATATAACTATATAACTGTTGATTATGGAGCATGATCGATAAAATAATGTTTAGGAGTGGTTGATAATATATAATCCTTTTTGACAATGGTTGATAAGGGTTAATAGTGCTTAAGAATGGTTGATAATGGTTAATGATGGAAAATGATGGATAGTAATGGTTAAGATCAATTGATAATTCACTGGTGGTAAAGCGATTCGTGAAATCTGTGACTAATCACGGTGCATAATCGGGCAATAAGAATGGATATTGAATACCGGTAATTTAAGGGTTTGCTATGGAAGCCATGGCCCTTTCTGTTCAAGAATTCCTATTGAAACGTGCGATCTCAGTATAGTAACACCCCAAGAGATAGAAACATACAATGTATCACCAGCGTCAACGGCGGGTTAATGAACAATAATAAACCCCTGGGCGGTGGAAAATTGGGGGTAAGAATTTAGTAGCAGATTACTTCAGTAGGATTTTGCGGCTCTATGTTTTTGGAGTTGCTATATTCTAAATACCCTTCACAATAGATGGGTGCTTCTGCAAATGGAGACCACTTTTAAACCATCTATCTCCATCTGTTGCCCTGTTGAAAAGAACCAATTTTGCATGACTTGGGGTTCTGATATAAGAAACCTCCACATGGTTTTTGGCGGTTTATAAATCCTTCATAAGCCCTCATTATTGGGGGAGTCACATTTTTTGGCGTATGATCCTGTATGCTTCCCTATTTGAAGACGGCACAAGATTCTCCCGGCAGCTGCACCCTTTTCGAATCGAAGCGGAAGTGCCTTCCTAAGTTCTTAGGGAAGTCCTGTGATGTTTCACACCCATCCCATCTGCTCCAGGGATTCCAAGTTGGCCACTTCAATAAGCCCTGCAGACGTAAATAGTTGGGATTCGCAGACCCTCTATTCTATACTATACTATTCTATACTGTACTATACTATACTATTCTATACTATACTATTCTATACTGTACTATACTATACTATTCTATACTATACTATTCTATACTGTACTATACTATACTATTCTATACTATACTATTCTATACTGTACTGTACTATACTATTCTATACTATACTATTCTATACTGTACTATACTATACTATTCTATACTGTACCATACTATTCTATACTATACTATTCTATACTGTACTATACTATACTATTCTATACTATACTATTCTATACTGTACTATACTATACTATTCTATACTGTACTATACTATACTATACTATTCTATACTGTACTATACTATACTATTCTATACTATACTATTCTATACTGTACTATACTATACTATTCTATACTATGCTATTCTATACTGTACTATACTATACTATTCTATACTGTACTATACTATACTATTCTATTCTATACTATACTATTCTATACTATACTATTCTATTCTATACTATTCTATACTGTACTATACTATTCTATACTATACTATTCTATACTGTACTATACTCTACTATTCTATACTATACTATTCTATACTGTACTATACTATACTATTCTATACTATTCTATACTGTACTATACTATACTATTCTATACTGTACTATACTCTACTATTCTATACTATACTATTCTATACTGTACTATACTATACTATACTATACTATTTTATACTATACTAGTCTATACTGTACTATACTATACTATTCTATACTATACTATTCTATACTATACTATTCTATACTGTACTATACTGTACTATACTATACTATTCTATACTATACTATTCTATACTATACTGATCTATACTATTCTATACTGTACTATACTCTACTATTCTATACTATATTTTGCTATACTGTACTATACTATACTATTCTATACTATACTATTCTATCCTGTACTATACTCTACTATTCTATACTATACTATTCTATACTGTACTATACTCTACTATTCTATACTATACTATTCTATACTGTACTATACTATACTATTCTATACTATTCTATACTGTACTATACAATTCTATTCTATACTATACTATTCTATACTGTACTATACTCTACTATTCTATACTATACTATTCTATACTGTACTATACTATACTATTCTATACTATTCTATACTGTACTATACTATACTATTCTATACTGTACCATACTATTCTATACTATACTATTCTATACTGTACCATACTATTCTATACTATACTATTCTATACTGTACCATACTATTCTATACTATACTATTCTATACTGTACTATACTATACTATTCTATACTATACTATTCTATACTGTACTATACTATACTATTCTATACTATACTATACTCTATTCTATACTGTACTATACTATACTATTCTATACTATACTATTCTATACTGTACTATACTATACTATTCTATACTATACTATTCTATACTGTACTATACTATACTATTCTATACTATGCTATTCTATACTGTACTATACTATACTATTCTATACTATACTATTCTATACTGTACTATACTATACTATTCTATACTGTACTATACTATACTATTCTATACTATGCTATTCTATACTGTACTATACTATACTATTCTATACTGTACTATACTATACTATTCTATACTATACTATACTGTACTATACTATACTATTCTATACTATACTATTCTATACGGTACTATACTATACTATTCTATACTATACTATTCTATACTGTACTATACTATACTATTCTATACTATACTATTCTATACTGTACTATACTATACTATTCTATACTGTACTATACTCTACTATTCTATACTATACTATTCTATACTGTACTATACTATACTATTCTATACTATACTATTTTATACTATACTATTCTATACTGTACTATACTATACTATTCTATACTATACTGTTCTATACTAGGCTATTCTATACTGTACTATACTGTACTATACTATACTATTCTATACTATACTATTCTATACTATACTATTCTATACTATTCTATACTGTACTATACTCTACTTTTCTATACTATACTATTCTATACTATTCTATACTATACTATTCTATACTGTACTATACTATACTATTCTATACTATACTATTCTATACTCTACTATACTATACTATACTATTCTATACTGTACTATACTATACTATTCTATACTGTACTATACTCTACTATTCTATACTATACTATTCTATACTGTACTATACTATACTATTCTATACTATACTATTTTATACTATACTATTCTATACTGTACTATACTATACTATTCTATACTATACTGTTCTATACTAGGCTATTCTATACTGTACTATACTGTACTATACTATACTATTCTATACTATACTATTCTATACTGTACTATACTATACTATTCTATACTATACTATTCTATACTGTACTATACTATACTATTCTATACTATACTATTCTATACTGTACTATACTATACTATTCTATACTGTACTATACTATACTATTCTATACTGTACTATACTATTCTATTCTATACTATACTATTCTATACTATACTATTCTATACTGTACTATACTATACTATTCTATACTATACTATTTTATACTATACTATTCTATACTGTACTATACTATACTATACTATACTATTCTATACTATACTATTTTATACTATACTATTCTATACTGTCCTATACTATACTGTTCTATACTGTACTATCCTATACTGTACTATACTACACTATCCTATACTGTGCTATACTATACTATCCTATACTGTACTATACTATGCTATACTATACTATACTACACTATACTATACTATCCTATACTATACTATCCTATACTATCCTGTACTATACATACTTACTTGAATCTAGTTGAATCTTAGTTTATAATTCACGCTTTCTGCAGGACTGGAGGAAAATCGACCACCTGAAAGTCACTGGCCTTTTTGGCCCAATACTCCGCTGTCCGCCCATAGCCACGGGACAGAAGATAGTCTCCAGTCTTCAGCTTCAACCGAACCCAGACCCATTGCTTCCCGTACCGGGCTTGATGTCCCACCAATGGGTCCCCATCATCACCTGGAAAATCAGGGCCATAACGACAACGAAATGGGGAACTCCCAATTCTGAAGGATGATCATCGTTTTTCCGTGTCCCATTTGAAACAGCAATTTGGGGCTTCTGCACCCTCTGTTTGACTCCGAAAATGGCGCTATCAAAAATGGGAGAGCTGAAGTCCCCGGCAACTGTTCAAAAGGAGCTCCTGCTACTGACACAGACCGTGAGCATGTGGTGGTCCCGCCAACACCATGACCATCCCAGAAGCTTTTTTCAAAATGGACCTTCCAAGTATACCATAGAGATCTGGCTTTGTCCTTGATGTAATCCCACCCCCCCTTATCCCCATTCATATATTTCACATTAATTACCGTCCCTTAAATCATCATATCATCCAAACCACCATGGTGAACCGTGTGGCCATGGTGACCATGGTGCACCGGGTGGCCTGTAGGGTCGTTCCCTAAGGCCCGCAACTTGAAGTCGTAGTCGCCCAATCCATCTGGCCGTTGACCCCTGAGACGTGTCTGGCTGTGTCCCAAGTCCTCAGGCAGTAAATGTCATGACTGTTTCATTTCGTTTCATGGGAATGATATAGGATGATCTTAAAAAAAAAACGTAATTGTCATATATTATATGAGATGTTATTTAGTACATATAATTGTCATTAGTATGATTAAAAAAAAGAAAACTTTGGCCAGTTATACTTAAATGATTCTATCATATTCTATCCACAGTACGATCGCTGGTTCAGTTTTTCGGATCTTCATTCCTAGTGTCGTTCCAAGGGCAACAGAGAAACGACCATCGAAAGATACCATTGAGGTGATACCATTGTACATTCATTACTACTACCATCTGGTTATGACTAACATAGCCATGGAAAGATCCACCATTTTTAATAGGTAAACCCAGTTGTTCACCATCTATAAATAGGCAAATTTCCATAAGTTGGTTTATAAATCCCATGAAAACTATAGTTATTTGTGTATCATAAGCCATAGTGAAATTGGAGTTATGTGCACCAACTGAACGCTATCGGAAACGGGGGTCCCACATTGTACTAATTGCATGATCCCTGGTACTTCTCAGTTCTCAGGGTTTAAGGCTAAGGGCCCGAGTTATTCACGAACACGCAGTGAAGAAACTATCTCTGGGGTATAAAAATTAAAGAAAGAAATCCTGCTTGGCGGATTTCATTTGCCAACAATATGTGTTGGTCAACGGCGGAACTCATCATCTTCAGTAGGGATGCACAACTTGCAAAAAATAAAATAAAACCAGCAAGCAGCACCAATGCCCAAACCTCAAAACAAATATCTTGGTACAGGATGGGGCCCCCAAGACAGCTAAGTTGCATTAAGTTGCTTTATAAGTAGTTTCACTATGGTTTATGGTAGATATAAGTATAGTTTTCATGGGGGTTATAAACCAACTTAGAACTGGGGGGCACCATCCTGTATTCTCGGCAGTTCCATGAACAGTCACCAAAGGGTTTGAAACCCAGGCGCTTGAGAGATGCAAACTTCGCACCAACTCTCCCCTCGCATCTGTTCGTCCTGCATGAAATTGACAACATGAACATCATGATGATGATGATGATGATGATGATGATGATGCTGATGATGATGATGATGGTGATGATGATGGTGATGATGATGATGATGATGATGATGATGGTTTTGCTTCTTCTGATGATGAAGCTGATGGCAATGATTGTGGTTGTGATGATGATGTGATGATGATGAAGATCATGAAGATGCTGATGGCGATGATTTTGGCGATTCTGACCCAGATGACGATGAAGATTCTGATTTGGTTCTCAGTATGATTATGATGATGATGATGAAGAAGATGAAGATGAAGATGGTGATGATGATGACGATCAAGATTGACATTAGGATGACCACTACAATTAAGACGAAGCTAAAGACGATGATCCTGGAGATGAAGATGAGAATGAGGATCATAAAGATACTGTAAAGATTAAGATCAAGGTCAAGATCAAGGTGAGGATAAGGATTAAAATGAAGATCAAAATAAAGATCAATGAAAAGATGAAGATGGAGATGTCATCAGATGAGGATGAGGATAATGGCTTCAGCCCGGCTAAGCCACCAGGGACTGCGCAGAATGTGCACTTCGTCACACTTCGATAGCTCTGTGGGCATAGGCCGCTGAGATGTGATGTTCCCAGGTGAAAAGTTTGAACTTGACACGGACACTGGAAACTGCGTTGAAGGAAGCATCTCCCATATTATCCCAGAAAAATTGACTGGTTGGTGGTTGACCTACCCCTCTGAAAAATGATGGAGTGAACGTCAGTTGGGATGATGAAATTCCCAACTTTTCATGGAAAGTCATTCAAAATTCCATGGTTCCAGTCACCAACCAGATTGATCATCCCAGATTATCCCAGAAATGTTCTTATCCCAGTCGGCTCCTTGCTACTGGCGTAGTTGGTATCAGCAGAGATGACCTCGTATCCTGGGAGTCGTCTGCAAAACGAGATTCGTTCCATTCGTTCCATTCGTTCCATCGTCGCCCACGGGCTAAGCACCAGTAAGTCGTTGGTGAGCAAACTGAGAAAATGTTCCCATGGTTTTTCGAGAAATCTTACTGTACATATTGGAAAAAAAACAAGATCATGTCTTTTTTTGTGGAAAAGAATCAATGTGATTGAAACCACCAACCAGTTCTGGTAGGCAGGATGGCAACCAGCGTGTTGGAGTCATCTCCGTCAATGACCCATGGCACATCAGCAAGTGAAGATTCTTGAAACATCGATGGATTTCCCAACGTTGGGAAACTTAGTGAGGCCGCCTAGATAGCTAAGTTGACGCACATAGCTCGGCTAACTATGATTTATGGAAAATATACCAATCTAGTTATATAATGGGTTTAGAAATATGTATAAACCAGCATGCCTTACATGGTCGAAAACAACACCAGAAAAACCCATAAAAAAACAAGCATCCCTTGCCATCCACTCCAGATGTGCGCAGGATCGCAGGTGCTTCACCACTGGGCTTGTGCCCCACCACCACGCGACGCACGTTGCCGCGATGCAAATATTCCACCTCTGGGCAGTATTCAAGATCCACAGCAGAGCCTTTTTTGGGGGTCTTATTTTTGGGGCATACCCTCTGGTAAATAAACATAGACCCTGAAAATCACCAATTTTTAATGGAAACTAGTCTTCCAACCCCTATCTGCCAGGGTCTATGTTAATTTACCAGAGGGTATGTCTGAAAGTTCCACAGAAAACCCTGAAGATAAAAAATGAATCCAGCGGTTTTTTTCTAACCGAAAATTGCTAGGAAGCATTTTCAGACACATCCATATGAGGCTCAGAACGAAAATTTGCCACGCTATTATATTTATCTATCTATATATCTGTCTGACTTTTTCTATCTATCTATCCATCCATCTTTCTATCCATCCGTCCATGGGTCTATCCATGGGGCTAAGGTTTAGGAATTTGAACCATTGTTGCATGGGTTCGGACCCGTATAGCATCAGAGTCTGCCTGATCATCTTAGATGGAACAAACAGATCAATACAAAATAAAAAGGCACAAGTATCATATACTTTATGTACAGGTATAGATGGCATAATGATATATAATGATATATATAATGATGTCATCCCGGATACACAGCCAGTTATGCTATTTACGGTGCATCACCTTACGATGTCAAAGATCATCTTGCTGCTTTCTAGGGGCAACTTTCTGGCTAAGCGGATCTGAGCATTTCGAAAATCCTTCCTCCTTGTCCTGGCAGCTGTGCTGATGCTGCAGAGTATGCTCACCCCACAAAGATCCAGGAAAAGAAGGGATGAATTTCGGTGAAATCCTGTTGAAATTGTTGGAACGCACTTCAGACCTGCATCTGTTCTTGGAGGGTGGTTTAGGTCTAGATATGTCATGCCATTGGGGTTTGCTCAAAAATGAGTGGTTGCAGCATACCCACCACTATTGAAAATGATGATTTCCCAGTGGATTTAGGAGTACCACATGTTCAGACAAACCAATGTGAGCCGTGGGGCCGTGGAACCAAAACCCTCTGCCATTCTATCATACTCTATCTACTGGTTGGTTAACAGGGAGTCCGCCCTACTGGATGATGATGATCCCGTATATACCAGGCAGTATGATCCCGTATGTGCTATGGACAAATCATGGTTTATTTTCCTGTAAAAGGGGATGGTATCCCCCATCAACAGGCTTCATATACCCATGATTTTTGGAATCCCTGTATGTGCCATGGTTTTTCAACATGGTAGATGTGCTATGGTCATCTATCCCACAATGGGAATCTTTACAATTAGTATACCATCCAACTCTTCTTGACCAAGAGGGTTTTGAACACTGCTCATCCCCACTAATCCCCTACCATGTTGTATGTATTTCCAACTATAGAAATATATACATATACATATAATATATATATACATACATATACATCATATTATATATATATAGCGTGTGTATATATATATATATGTATATAGTATTGTATAGTCATTGAATGCAGCATCTTTTGGGATGTTTTTATCCACTCATTTCAAATGAGCACGTCGACCTGGTCAATGGCTTGCCGCGTTGGCATGTTCTTGCCATCAACGTAGCAGCTGACGACCACCTGAGAGATCTGAGACATGGTGATATCGGAGATCATTGGATCTGGCAGTTTGAATGGTGTGGGTGACCCATGGTGACCCTAGATGTTTCTTGTGTAATCAGTTATAACCAACGATGTTTTAAATGGGGTTGTCCAAAAGATGCAGGAGTTACTCGCCATGGCAAAACTATATGGCAAAACTAACCAATTGGTATGATGAATTTTATTCCCTTTCCCGGGAAACCACTGACCAGATGAGGGATGGGTTCTACGTGTTAGCGATTCTGTCATGTAGCTCTTGACAATAAGGATCTTAGATGATCTTAGTGGCTTATCCCTGTAAAGCTAGTAAGTGATTCCGCAGTGGTTGGGGTCTGAACCCACTGATTGTGTCCGTCTTTTTCAGGAGTTATAGTTGTACTCACAACCCAGCATTGGCTGTAGTCATTATGTCATTTACATCCATTTACTCACTTCCGGCCTCATCCGAGCAGCTGTGAAGGGACTTCCCAAACGTCAGCAACAACTCTTACACTCCCATGGCTTGTCTATGGCTCAAAATTTGGCTCCGAATTCCGAGCCGATTCCCTTAAAATCATAAGTCCAAGTCTCTTTGGCAAAAAAAACTACGCCACGTCAGCATTTTGCTGCCGGCATCCTCTCACCCCCTGGGCCCCTTGGCGCCATCAGATCGGAGCCAAAGGGCCGTTAAGAGACAACTCGCAGCACGGCTTTGGTATGCCATGAGAGCCTCCCCACCACGGGAGCGTGGAACCCCTTGGCTCCAGTCGGGACGTTGTAGCCAGGCTTCCACCTACCATGGGATCCATTGGGCATTTTGGGGATCTGGGAATCACTAGCAACTTATGGGAATCGTAGCTGGATATGTTTGATCCACTCAAAAACGCATAAACATGAAACAGAACAAACAGAATGAAACCTTCAAGACATTTGCCATACCCTTGATCCATGGTGATGCCAACCTTTTGGCCTAAAAAGTGCCCCAATCTCTGATATCAAGGGATAGGGCGGAGCGGCCTCTTCAACTTGGGGATGAGTTCACCAATTTTTTTGGCCATGAAACACGGTCCCAGTTTGGAATCAAACGGAAAAACGTCGATCCATTTTAATAGAACCCTGGTGACTAAAATGGATCCCCCTTTTTAGGAAACCACCATATATATAGATCCGAGAGATTTCGAGAGCCGGTGTAGTTGGCCCACGGTTTGTAGGCAGCTGTGGGTCAAAGTGCCGTTCTATGCTTTTTGATTGCACGTGTGGAGTGGGATGGGGGGTGGGGCCGAATACCCTTCGGTTGCCAGTTGCGCACGTCATTGATGCTACATGATGCTACGCTGCGTACGGTTCTTCTGCACTTGCACACATCATTGATGCCACGCTATGTAAAAAATTTCTTCGCAAGTGCATTTGCATAGAAAGCAAGAACTGGTTGGTGGTTTTAACCATCTTGAAAAGTATTAGTCAATGGGAAGGATTATCCCATATACCAGTAGTACCGCACAAGGCGGTGGCGGAAGTTTCAAAAATAGGAAACCTATAGGAGACGTTGGTTGTTGTGAATCACGGATGGCAGAGCGAATCCACTGATTGACCGAAAGGTGGTTGGAGTTGTGTTTGCTGGAGTGGTTGCAATGGTTGCAGAGGGCACCTCACCCACAACTGCTGGATGTAGTGTGATGTACTGCAACTGTAGTTGTAGTTGTAGCGTAGTGGAGTTGTAGTTGTGGTGTAATGTAATTAGTGTAGTGTAGTTGCAGTCATATAGTTGTAGCTGTAGTTGTTTTGTAGTTGTAGTTGTAGTTGTTGTAGTTGTAGTTGTTGTTGTGGTTGTAGTTGTTGTGTGTTGTGTGGTTGTAGTTGTTGTGTAGTGTAGTTGTAGTAGTTGTTTGTTGTTGTAGTTGTTGTGTTGTAGTTGTTGTTGTTGCTGTTGTTGTTAGTTGTTTTTGAGTTGTTGTTGTTGCTGTTGTTGTAGTTGTTGTTGTTGTTGTGTGTTGTTTGTCTTGTTGTTGTTGTTGCTGTTGTTGTAGTTGTAGTTGTTGTAGTTGCAGTTCTAGTTTGTAGTTGTAGTTGTTGTGTAGTTGTAGTGTAGCTGTAGTTGTAGTTGTTGTAGTTGTAGTTGTTGTAGCTGTTGTAGTTGCAGTTCTAGTTGTAGTTCTAGTTTGTTGTGTTGTTGGTGTTGTTGTTGTTGTTGTTGCTGTTGCTGTTGCTGTTGTCGTCGAAGTTAGGGTAGTTAAGTTAGTGAAGTTAGTTAAGTTAGTCAAGTTAGTTAAGTTAATCAGTGTCTACTTTTTCGACATCTTCACGTCAAAAAAGGCTCAAAACCCGCAGTTTTTTACACTTTTGACTTCGAAATGTGCTTCGCGCCACAACGGCGTGCACTTTTTCGACACTTTTTCGACATCTGAACCTCCAAAAGTGGTCCGAGACCGTCAGTTTTTAACACTTTTGACTTGGAAATGTGCTTCGCGCCACAACGGCGTGCACTTTTTCGACATCTCAACTTCCAAAAGTGGTCCGAATGGTGTGTTTTGTACATTTTGACTTGGAAATGTGCTTCGCGCCACAACGGCGTGCACTTTTTCGACATCTCAACTTCCAAAAGTGGTCCGAACCTGGTGTGTTTTGTACATTTTGACTTGGAAATGTGCTTCGCGCCACAACGGCGTGCACTTTTTCGACATCTCAACTTCCAAAAGTGGTCCGAACATGTGTGTTTTGTACATTTTGACTTGAAATGTGCTTCGCGCCACAACGGCGTGCACTTTTTCGACATCTCAACTTCCAAAAGTGGTCCGCTCCTCTGGTGCTTTGTCACTTTTCACTTGGAAATGTGCTTCGCGCCACAACGGCGTGCAATTTTTCCTCTCTCATCTGGCCAGCTGGCTCCGCACCCGCCGCTTTAGCGAGCCTACTTTTCGACCCTCCGGAGCCACAAATCATTGGAAAAACACAGTGAATCGCGACTTTCCTATCTTTTCGCGCATCTACATCTTCTTTCTTCTGATCTTTTCTCTTCTGACTCTTCTCACCTCTGCTTTTCAACTGTCCATATTGTCGGAAGTATAGCTTCTAAACTTCCTTCGATTATGGAAAATAAAAATTCATGTTCCAAACCGCCAACCAGAAGAAGCATTGAAACAGTGGCTGCTCAAACAATCCCAAGGATTCCCAAGGATGCCAACAGACCAACGGTTTGAATTCTGCATGGCTTTCGGAGCCTTTCTCAAGAAACCCCGAAGATTGTAAATAGCAACAGAATTGTGGCACATGTCGTAGGTCTGAGCGTAACGACTACTGACTATGAAGCCTGGAGCTAGTTACAAGCACAAGTAGCTGATGTCACAAGTACACTATCCTTGTAAATGATATTTTTGGTAAAGTCAACTACCACGGCCACATTTCGTGAAAAATCGCTGCCTCATCTTTGGCAAAGTGGTTCAAGGCAGCAATCCATCCATGCAAGTCGTCGTAGCTTGAGGCACCTGGAAGAGATCGAAGTCCTTCCCGGGTATTGTTGGTATACCTGGTCAATCGACTGGGAACAAAGCCCAGCGCGCTCTCTTCCACTGCACCATGGACAAAGAGGGTGTCTTCGAGGATGACCCCGATTTGTGCATGTTGAAGATAGCCTCAGAGCTGAAGGTTGAAAAAAAGCCATGTTTCAAGCCATGAGAGTTTCCAGACTCAGATTGTCAGATCTGGTGGATCAAAACCCCCATGAAGGATCCCTATGGGGGCACTGACTGTATCCATCCGCAGCCAAGCTGCGCGCTACCGCTCCACCTGATTTCACCGACTCCAGAAAGCTCTGGAGCACCTCTGCTGACGCTTGTGAATGGAAGATCTTCAAACATCATCTTCGGCCAACCCATACAGTCATATATAAAATCTATAAAATCATATAACATATTGGCAAAACATCCAAATTCATCCAATGCCCAACTGTCAAATCTCTGCCAACTCTTCCACCCTGCCGAAATGTCACAAGCCCCGCCTCGTTGTCGTTCACCTCAGCGCTGCGTTTCGCAGACATCTCGGCCAGTTCCTGGCGTCGATGTTCGAAGGCAGCAGGGGCACCCATGGTGTGTCGCAGGATCCACTTGAGGCGGTTTACTTTGCTGTCGCTCAAGCCTCACGGGATGGAGGTTGAGCTTGAATCATTAGATTGGTTTAAGGGAAAATCTACAGGAAACCATGGTTTTTACCATCAAATATAGGCATTTTCCTGTAAATTTTCCCATCATCCAATTCTATGATTGAAAGACACGGAAAAAGCCATGGTTTGGACCACCATTTTTTTGGGGGGGCTCCCTGCAGATTTTCCCATGGATTTTCCCAAGTCTGGGCGAGTGGGATTGGGATATGGATATGGATCAGGTCTGAAAAACTGAAAAACGGAATGGTAACATGGGAAAGGACAGTTGACATGAAACGGAAAAAATATGACTAAACACAGTTAGAAATTAAACAATATGTTGTACATCAGAAATTACAGTGATCATTTGACTGTTTTTTTCGGAGGTGGTTAAGCCACCCCTGTAGCTGTTAGAAACAGCATGCATTGACCAGCCATGGTTGGATTTTCCAGCCAGAGCTGCCTCCTTTTTGAAATAGCCGAGGTGCCAGTGTCACGTTTGAAACAGCCAGAGGGTACCCTCTGGTAAACATACAAAAAGCTATTGAAAATTGCCATTTATAGTGAGTTTTCCCATTAAAAAATGTGATTTTCCATAGTTATGTTAGTTTACCAGAGGCTAATCATCTGAAAGGAGTGGTTGAAATATGTTGAAATCCCAAATTTGGGACATGAAGATTATGAAGATACTCTACTGATCATTTGCGGAACATCTGCGAAGCCCTGTTCAACCGTCGACAAGGCACTGAAAAAATTGCAGCAACAAGTAGCAATCTAGTCTTGAACCGATAGGAAGTCCCTGAAACACTCCTGAAAACAAGACACCAGACTAGATTTTTCACTGAATCTCTCCACATTAAAATGTCCTGTAGGATGTCGCTTCAATCGATGAATCATCCTCATCCCATCCATTCCCATCCCAATGGCCATCATCGCCGGCCTTTGGAGGACAAGTATTTGGTCAAGGCTGGTGCTTTGGGATCCCACCAAGCCTGAAACGCTTCATCAGAGCTTTGTCTCATGGCGCTGTCTGAAAGCTCTGCAGCCAGACGCATCTTGTTGATGTCCCTGTTGCCCATGATCAAAAACACGCGACAAGGATACGTCCTGAAGATTTTTTGGATGCTCTGGATGGAATAGGATGGATGATTGAACATTTAGGCAAAAACGACAATTCCAGCCCCTTTGTTGCGTGACAACTCCTGCAACATTGATAAATTTTCTCTATGGATCCGGTCAGACGGATCGATGTTTGGTGAAGCCAACAAGGCGGCTTCAAGGTACGCATTTAGAAAAGGAATGATTGACATAATGTCTACCTACCTCTGGTAAACTAACATAGCTATGGAAATAGCCGGTGTATAGTCGATTTGCCTATTTAATTAGATTGTGATTTTCCATAGCTATGTTAGTTTGCCAGAAGGTAATACCACGTACTACCCCATGAATGGTAAAGTTGTATGATTCGGGCACGGGTTTATGTATCCCATTGTGATTACTTGGTACTTGTACCATAGCATCCATATACCATCGGTTGTATGAACATACCATTGTTATTGGGTTGGTGTTCATAAATTTGGTACCTGTTGTTATTGTTGGATTAATACAGTATATACTCACTTACTATAAAATGGACTGAATTGATTTCATCAAGAAAAGAACACGTGTAATATACCATGGATTCTACCATGTATATGCAATGCTTGTCAATGCTACGCATTATATCAACATTATATCAACTGTATCATGAGTGTACCATCTTACAGGACACAGGATCGGTGGATCGGTGGATGGGAATCCATGGCCGATCCAAACAGCACCAGAATCCGACATCTATGGCATCTATGCTCTAAATTTCTCCAATGATACCAGGGAAATCTGAGGATCTCCCAAATTTATCCAAATTTGCCACCAAAATGATACCATTTACCTCCACTTCAAAATGACTTCATGGTGTTCAACCATGTTAAACCATGTTAAACCATGTTAGTCCCTTAGACCCACATGTCAGTTTGATGCTTCAACCCCCACGTTAAAAAAAAAAACGTGGATAATTTATATCATAGTTATAGCGGAACTTTCCCAACTTAGTATAACTTATGGGGGTGAACTCAGAATGGACTCTCTGGTAATTTAACAGTTTGCTATGCTTCAAATGGCCCAGTCGAAATAGTGGATTTACCCATGAAAAATGCATGGTGGATCTTCCCATAGTTATGTATGTAAGTTATGCAACAGTATCAGCCAGTGGATCAGCCATTTGCAACGGAAAAACCTCGAACTCCCCCAGGTGTTTCGGTCCGTCCTCTTGAGCTGAATCAACTCCTCTGCCAGTCGTAGGTCCCCAGAGCCTCTATCGAAGAGATCGCCGCCGAAGACGAAGGCAGAGGCAGGGTCCTTCCTGAGGATTTGCCAAATCTTCATGGGAAAATTGGCATAGTCAGATATATAGATATAGAAAATATATGGAAAATCGGCATTTTCATAGGAAATGAAATATCCATAGTCCATAGATATATAAGATAAGATATGATAGGATAGGATAAGATAAGATAAGATAAGACAGATAGATAGATAATCTGCACATAATGTGTAGATCCATATATTATGACATAACGTAGTACAAATACGATATAATATAAGTGTATTATTGCAGTGCATTACATTACTTTATATACATGACATTACATTACATTAAATTACATTGCATTACATGAGCTGACATTACATGGCAACATATTACATAACACTACACCACACCACATTGCATTGCATTACATTACGTTATGTTACGTTACCTTAAGTTACGTTACGTTATGTTACGTTACCTTAAGTTACGTTACGTTACGTTACATTACACTACATTCATTCCATCATAAATCATATAATCTTATATTAATGGCAACTAACCGACAAAATAGTGATTTAACCAACAAATTTGGTGATATGTACGGTAGATGTATCTATGGTTGATGGGGATTGAACCAATTGTTCCAATTTGGTGACCCCCCGAATGATAGATGGTTCATAAACCCTTGTAATCGGTGTTGTTCTTGGTTTATCATTCACCCTTGATAAACACAAACATTATTGGTATACATCGACTGACTGTGGAAACAATAAGCAATAAAGTGATACCAACAATCTGGTTGATTGCATAACCATTCACTAGTCTGCTTCAGGCTATTTGGGGGAAGTTGCCCCCATTAATACCATCATTCCAGTGACGGAATTGACGTGGGTACTTCACCCAAGAGCTGAGGTTTACGTCTCCTGAAACGTTGGGTGAAACGTTGGGCGATGATATGTTTATTGTTCCTGTCTTATATGACTTAAATTACCCTCTGGTAAACTAACATAACTATGGAAAATCACCATGTTTAATGGGAAAACTCACTATAAATGGCCATTTTCAATAGCTACGTTAAATTACCAGAGGGTATTACCAAACAAACTCTATCTTTGGGATGTTCCCCGCAGTCCCCACATCACTTTTCGCCCACCGAACCCACCGGGAGTCAGGCTGACAGGACGTTGCAACAGTCATGTCAAGCCCGGATTTTGCTAAACCATGGTTTATGAAAATTAGGGGGGTACTCCTCCAATAGTCATAATATACAAGATTGAGCTATTAATGTTTTATAGTTAATATACAATATACTATAGACTATATATATATGTATGTTTTAAATGGTACCCTCCCAATTGAACAATCTATACATAAAACTGTTCTCGCTGTTCTCCATAGTTTGCCCTGCTTCCACTGCAACCTGCAACCTGAGTTTTCTGAGTATTTGGTCCTTGGGCAGAACGTGGTAGAACCATTGATTCTCGGCAGCTCCACAAAAGTTCAATTTCTGAGCTGTTCCGATTGCTGATGATGCTGATGCCAAAATTTCTGGGATCATCACCATTCTCCAAATTCGGGTGCCTCAACCATCAAGGGCCTAGGTCAAAAAAATCTCCCGTTGCACATCCCCCAGTACATCCAGCACATTCAAATGCTTCAAATACACGTCCACCATGAAAAGTTCGAATCCAAGCTGGTTGGTGGTTGACCGACCCCTCTGAAAAATGATGGAGTGAACGTCAGTTGGGATGATTTTCCATTCCCAATATGATGGGAAAGTCATAAAATTCCATGGTTCCAGTCACCACCAACCAGATTGATCATCCCATATTCTCCCAGAAATTTTCATCCCAGTAATCCAAGGTTAAATTATAGTTGATTTACCCATCAAAAATCAAAATGGTGGATCTTTCCATAGTTTTTTGTATGTTTACCAGAGTAGGTAATCCAAGGGTCAATTTCAGCACACCATTTTCTCTTCTCAGAACTGACGCATCGCTGTCGACATATCGATTGAACGTCTCGAGGTCACCCTCGATGTCTGTGATATAACCAATGTCCTGCAGCGCAAAAATAAAAAGATGGGTGTAATGATTACCCTCTGGTAATTTAACATAGCTATGGAAAATCACAATTTTTAATGGGAAAATCCACTATAAATGGCCATTTTCAATAGCTTTCTGTTAACGTTTACCAGAGGGTACCCTAGGGCAAACGTTTAGATGTGGAAAACCCCATTGGGTTTTCCTTGGGAAAACGATCTACCATCCAGGATGTTTGAAACATGTTTTTTTTGACCGACATCTATATTAGTTTACCCTAGGGTAAATGTCTCAAAAAAAGGACTGGGCTGGAAGGCTGGAATTCTGTTCTTCAACTGAGGTGACCAAACAAATGTCAAATGTTCCCCTAAACCTGAACGTCTCACAGGATGGCTCTGACAGTCTGACAGCAACCTTTTGGACCAAAAAAATGGAGCGATTTTTCTCGGTGAATCAGGACTGCAGTCCTCACACATTTGGAATTCCTGAAAATGTCTTCAGCGATTGTCCCAAGTTTCACATGTGAGAATTCAATGAAATTCACATTGTCAAAGTTTATATATTCCAGTCAGCCCTCCAAATCCAACCAGCGATCCGTGTTTTCTTCCACGTACCTGGATCCGTGGCCGCGCAAACACGACGCCGACGGATCCGAAGGCGCAGCTTGCGCAGCTGTCAGCGTACGGAGAGATGGCATACCAACCGAGGCCACCTGTTGGAGGAGTTCCAATCCACCAATCGTGGTACCCTCTGGTTATGTCAACAGTTTGCTATTGAAAATGGCCCAGTCGAAATAGTGAGTTTTCCCATGAAAAATGCATGGTGGATCTTTCCATAGTTATGGGACAGTTTACCAGAGGGTAGAAATGTCGGTTTGCTGAGTCATTGGCAAATCGAAATGGATAAAAAAACAGGTAAACATTGGTAAACAATTTGGCCATTAGACCATTGGACCATGATCTTGAGATATCTTGAGATATCTTGAGATATTTTGGGTAACCCAAAAAATGATACAAATGAATGAATTGTTTCTACTGGAAATTGCAGATTTTGGTGGGGTTTTGTAAAGCCGGAGAACTTGATCCGCACAGCCGATTGCAGGTCTTTTGTTTTTGGGAGATACCAAAGAGGCTGACACAGATCATCCCTTCCCCATCCTTCCCCTGTTCATAAAATAACACTCCTCCAGAAAGCGTGGTTTTTGCTGGGGATAAACCAACACGTATTTGGGAACATCGAATGGTGAAATTTAAAATGAATAAGGGTTTGGACTGCAGATAGATACAGTGAGAGTTACTACAGTATATTTCAGAATGGAGGACTAAACAGTGAATGCTAACAAGAGCATACCTTTTGTTTCAGCAACAACCAGCAGGAACGAATCGTTTTGCAAACCTATGAAGTGTTTCTGACACGTTTATTTCATGAATTGATGTAAAAATTTATGCAGATTTGGATTTGCGTTACCAATGTCATCCATGAGAACCAATTTACTCCTAGGATCCCAAACCGATCCCCTGCCGTTCAAAGCCGCCAAGTTTTGACAGTCGCGAGCCAAGGGGTCTTCAGTCTAGGAATGTCACATGAGCAGCGTTCAGAACCCGAAATGTCATCCCTTCAAAGTACAGCAGCAAAAAGAGACCCCAAACAGTGTGAGGGGGTAGGAAGTCAATGTGCCAGATACAAGCCACAGTAGCTATGGAACAGTAACAGATAAGGTTAGACATCACCGCAACTGCAGCAGCAGGACCTTCTATGTAGATCGATTTAAAGGAGCCCACAAGATCTTCATACAAGAACTTCCCATGAGCATCCCGGAGAAACTTTCATACAAGCAGCAACGCAGAGGATATTCAAGATCTTAATGCAAGATAATGCAAGGACCTCTTGAGGAGGATTTCAACAGAATCTCCACAAGATCTCCTCACAAGGACCTGGACCAGATCATGTAAGGACACCGAGCGGATTTCATCAGGACATCTTCAAGAGCTTCTCACGCGGACCTGCACAAGATCATGCAAAGGCCTTTGACAGCATGTCACTAGGATCTCCACAAGACCTTCGCACAAGGACTTGTACAAGACTTTGAGCAAGATCTCCATGCCAGGACCCCTAAGAGAATCTTACAGGATCATCGAATCTTACAAGATCTTGATACAAGAGTCATACAAGCACCTCTACAACATGGCATCTGCAAGCTCCTCATGCCAGGACCTCTTGGAGAGGATCTCACCAGGATCTCCACAAGATCTTCTGTTAGAAGAAGCCGTTCATGCCAGAATTTATGATGAAAATGTGTGTCCCGGTACGAGTACCGACGTTTTGTGCGAGCCTGCGCAATCGAAAGGAACATGCACATCGCACAAGAGCCACTGTTTATGCGAGAATTTTACTGGGAAAATGCCGGGGCCCAAGATCAAAAAAAAGTCCGGCGCAGAACGAAATGCTCATGGACATGTCACAATTTGTCGCCGGCCAGAGAGCGTACCCTGATCCAACCCCGGCCTTAACACCTACCGTAAGAACCCCTCAATGTGGACAGACTGTTTGGGGAAAAACTGCTTGGTTGACTGACAGGGTTCCAAAAATTGGGGTAGTATGGGTCATAATTTTCCTCAATAAACCAGGTATGCAGTAGAACCCGCGACAATAGCTCCGAATTTCGCTCACATCGACCCCACCGAACGCAGGTCTCTATAGCATGTAACTGTATAGTGGATGTACATGATAGATCATACAATACAAAGATATAACATACAGTATATCATATACACTATGCGATATGTCACATATGATGTAAAGTGAATATGTATATATATATACTGTATATACAATCATATTGACAATATGGAATATACATACAAGGTGGTGTCCCATAGTTAGCTAAGTTCGTATATAACTCCAATCACTTCGGCTTATGGTAGATATATCTACAGTTGCCCTGGTTTATATAAACTAACTTTTAACTGGGGGCCGGGGCGCCAGCTTGTATTTATATATATATAATGTGGAAATGTATATATAATATGGAAATATATATATACACATACATAACATATGGGATATGTGTTGTATGAATTGTGTAAGTACTGTAATGTATCACACGTGTTTGCATAATAGTTTGTACAATCTAGAAGGTCTAAGTTTTAAATATTACATATCACACCAAATGTCAGCAAAGATCATATGTGTAATGTATATATATAATATGTATGTGTATAATCAGTCCTCAAAAGGATGAAGAAAAGTTGGAAACCTGAAAAATATGGAGGAAACATCATCGAACTACCATCCCGGAAACACTTGTTCGGCTACTAAAAATAAAATAGTTTGCTATATAACTATATATCTTGGTATATTCTATAATTAGATATAATTAGTACATTCTGATACCCTCCGGCAACATGGCGTGCTGGAAGCTTTCCCTCATTTACTTCGATGATAATATGTCCAGCGCGTTTCGGCCTGCCGCGAAAAGGCTGAAGGACCAGTGCTTCAACGAAGTCGGCCGCGCACCTGAAAAGTTTGGGAAAATCTTCACCGGAAATGCTGGAAAAGACAGCCAATGATCAGCCAACATTTCGGGAGTTCCGGCTTTTTTTCCCCTCCAATTTGATGACACCAGGGGCCTCTGGGCTACTCTTATGGCGAAAAAACCATGGTGAGTTCGCCCCCGGGATATAACCCTGAAAAAAAAAAGGCAAAGTGGATCCACTTGTAGCTGGAACTGCACTTCCAAGTATGTAATATAAATCATGGAATATGTAATCTACATACATATATATATATATATCAATATGGAATTTTGCAGGGATTGGCTTACAAGGATGTCATAGGGGTATAATGGATATGAATGGGATATGAATGGGTGGATACCAATAGGATACTGATGGGATATTGTGCTACGTAACCAGCAATATGATATACTTGAATGTGTCTGAAAATTGGATATGACAGTCAGTACCCCCCGCAAAAAATGGGTGGTTACCCTCTGTTCTTACAAACAACGCCTTCTGGGCAATACCCTCTGGCAGTTTAACATAGCTATGGAAAACAGCCCATTTAGTTCCATCATCTCTTAAAAATGGTGCTTTCCCATGGCAAACTGTTCAATTACCAGGGATTTTATGTTAGACATATCCCCATGATGTCCCAGTGTATCTCCATTCCTAAAATAACTGTTTTTTCGAAAAAACAGTTGAAAGCTTAATGTTCCAGTGTATCCCCATTCCTAAAATAACTGTTTCTTCGAAAAAACAGTTGAAAGCTTATGATGTTCCAGTGTATCTCCATTCCTAAAATAACTGTTTTTTCGAAAAAAAAAAAACAGTTGAAAGCTTATGATGTCCCAGTGTATCCCCATTCCTAAAATAACTGTTTCTTCGAAAAAACAGTTGAAAGCTTATGATGTTCCAGTGTATCTCCATTCCTAAAATAACTGTTTTTTCGAAAAAACAGTTGAAAGCTTATGATGTCCCAGTGTATCTCCATTCCTAAAATAACTGTTTTTTCGAAAAAACAGTTGAAAGCTTATGATGTCCCAGTGTATCCCCATTCCTAAAATAACTGTTTTTTCGAAAAAACAGTTGAAAGCTTATGATGTCCCAGTGTATCTCCATTCCTAAAATAACTGTTTTTTCGAAAAAACAGTTGAAAGCTTATGATGTCCCAGTGTATCCCCATTCCTAAAATAACTGTTTTTTCGAAAAAACAGTTGAAAGCTTATGATGTCCCAGTGTATCTCCATTCCTAAAATAACTGTTTTTTCGAAAAAACAGTTGAAAGCTTATGATGTCCCAGTGTATCCCCATTCCTAAAATAACTGTTTTTTCGAAAAAACAGTTGAAAGCTTATGATGTCCCAGTGTATCTCCATTCCTAAAATAACTGTTTTTTCGAAAAAACAGTTGAAAGCTTATGATGTTCCAGTGTATCCCCATTCCTAAAAAAACTGTTTTTTCGAAAAAACAGTTGAAAGCTTATGATGTTCCAGTGTATCCCCATTCCTAAAATAACTGTTTTTTCGAAAAAACAGTTGAAAGCTTATGATGTCCCAGTGTATCCCCATTCCTAAAATAACTGTTTTTTTCGAAAAAACAGTTGAAAGCTTATGATGTCCCAGTGTATCCCCATTCCTAAAATAACTGTTTTTTCGAAAAAAAAAAACAGTTGAAAGCTTATGATGTCCCAGTGTATCCCCATTCCTAAAATAACTGTTTTTTTCGAAAAAACAGTTGAAAGCTTATGATGTCCCAGTGTATCTCCATTCCTAAAATAACTGTTTCTTCGAAAAAACAGTTGAAAGCTTATGATGTCCCAGTGTATCTCCATTCCTAAAATAACTGTTTTTTCGAAAAAACAGTTGAAAGCTTATGATGTCCCAGTGTATCTCCATTCCTAAAATAACTGTTTCTTCGAAAAAACAGTTGAAAGCTTATGATGTCCCAGTGTATCTCCATTCCTAAAATAACTGTTTTTTCGAAAAAAAAAAAACAGTTGAAAGCTTATGATGTCCCAGTGTATCCCCATTCCTAAAATAACTTTTTTTTTCGAAAAAACAGTTGAAAGCTTATGATGTCCCAGTGTATCTCCATTCCTAAAATAACTGTTTCTTCGAAAAAACAGTTGAAAGCTTATGATGTCCCAGTGTATCTCCATTCCTAAAATAACTGTTTTTTCGAAAAAAACAGTTGATGAAAGCCTTATGATGTCCCAGTGTATCTCCATTCCTAAAATAACTGTTTTTTCGAAAAAAAAAAAACAGTTGAAAGCTTATGATGTCCCAGTGTATCTCCATTCCTAAAATAACTGTTTTTTCGAAAAAACAGTTGAAAGCTTATGATGTCCCAGTGTATCCCCATTCCTAAAATAACTGTTTTTTCGAAAAAACAGTTGAAAGCTTATGATGTCCCAGTGTATCTCCATTCCTAAAATAACTGTTTTTTCGAAAAAACAGTTGAAAGCTTATGATGTTCCAGTGTATCCCCATTCCTAAAATAACAGTTTTTTCGAAAAAACAGTTGAAAGCTTATGATGTCCCAGTGTATCTCCATTCCTAAAATAACTGTTTTTTTTCGAAAAAACAGTTGAAAGCTTATGATGTTCCAGTGTATCCCCATTCCTAAAATAACTGTTTTTTCGAAAAAACAGTTGAAAGCTTATGATGTTCCAGTGTATCCCCATTCCTAAAATAACTGTTTTTTCGAAAAAACAGTTGAAAGCTTATGATGTCCCAGTGTATCTCCATTCCTAAAATAACTGTTTCTTCGAAAAAACAGTTGAAAGCTTATGATGTTCCAGTGTATCCCCATTCCTAAAATAACTGTTTCTTCGAAAAAACAGTTGAAAGCTTATGATGTCCCAGTGTATCTCCATTCCTAAAATAACTGTTTTTTCGAAAAAACAGTTGAAAGCTTATGATGTCCCAGTGTATCCCCATTCCTAAAATAACTGTTTTTTCGAAAAAAAAAAAACAGTTGAAAGCTTATGATGTCCCAGTGTATCCCCATTCCTAAAATAACTGTTTTTTTCGAAAAAACAGTTGAAAGCTTATGATGTCCCAGTGTATCCCCATTCCTAAAATAACTGTTTTTTCGAAAAAACAGTTGAAAGCTTATGATGTCCCAGTGTATCTCCATTCCTAAAATAACTGTTTTTTCGAAAAAACAGTTGAAAGCTTATGATGTCCCAGTGTATCTCCATTCCTAAAATAACTGTTTTTTCGAAAAAAAAACAGTTGAAAGCTTATGATGTCCCAGTGTATCTCCATTCCTAAAATAACTGTTTTTTCGAAAAAACAGTTGAAAGCTTATGATGTTCCAGTGTATCCCCATTCCTAAAATAACAGTTTTTTCGAAAAAACAGTTGAAAGCTTATGATGTCCCAGTGTATCTCCATTCCTAAAATAACTGTTTTTTTCGAAAAAAAAAAAAAAAAACAGTTGAAGATTATTATGATGTACCCAGTTGGTCCCCATTCCTAAAATACATGGTTTTCCCGAAAAAAACAGTTGAAAGCTTATGATGTCCCAGTGATCCCCATTCCTAAAATATGCTTTTTCGAAAAAAAAAAAAACAGTTGAAAGCCTTATGATGTCCCAGTGTATCCCCATTCCTAAAAATAACGTGTTTCGAAAAAACAGTGAAAGCTATGATGTTCCAGTGTATCCCCCTTCCTAAAAACTGTTTTTTCGAAAAAAAAAAACGTGAAAGCGTAATGAGTACCCAGTGTATCCCCATTTCCATAAAATACACTGGTTTTCGAAAAACAGTTGAAATGCTTATGATGTCACAGGTATCCCCATTCCTAAAAACTAATGTTTTTCGAAAAACAGTTGAAAGCTTATGATGTCCAGTGTATCCCCATTCCTAAAATAACTGTTTTTTTCGAAAAAACAGTTGAAAGCTTATGATGTCCCAGTGTATCTCCATTCCTAAAATAACTGTTTTCTTCGAAAAAACAGTTGAAAGCTTATGATGTCCCAGTGTATCCCCATTCCTAAAATAACTGTTTTTTCGAAAAAACAGTTGAAAGCTTATGATGTCCCAGTGTATCCCCATTCCTAAAATAACTGTTTTTTCGAAAAAACAGTTGAAAGCTTATGATGTCCCAGTGTATCCCCATTCCTAAAATAACTGTTTTTTTCGAAAAAACAGTTGAAAGCTTATGATGTCCCAGTGTATCTCCATTCCTAAAATAACTGTTTCTTCGAAAAAACAGTTGAAAGCTTATGATGTCCAGTGTATCCCCATTCCTAAAATAACTTCGAAAAAACAGTTGAAAGCTTATGATGTCCCAGTGTATCTCCATTCCTAAAATAACTGTTTCTTCGAAAAAACAGTTGAAAGCTTATGATGTCCCAGTGTATCCCCATTCCTAAAATAACTGTTTTTTCGAAAAAACAGTTGAAAGCTTATGATGTCCCAGTGTATCCCCATTCCTAAAATAACTGTTTCTTCGAAAAAACAGTTGAAAGCTTATGATGTCCCAGTGTATCTCCATTCCTAAAATAACTGTTTTTTCGAAAAAAAAAAACAGTTGAAAGCTTATGATGTCCCAGTGTATCCCCATTCCTAAAATAACTGTTTTTTTCGAAAAAACAGTTGAAAGCTTATGATGTCCCAGTGTATCTCCATTCCTAAAATAACTGTTTCTTCGAAAAAACAGTTGAAAGCTTATGATGTCCCAGTGTATCCCCATTCCTAAAATAACTGTTTTTTCGAAAAAACAGTTGAAAGCTTATGATGTCCCAGTGTATCCCCATTCCTAAAATAACTGTTTTTTCGAAAAAACAGTTGAAAGCTTATGATGTTCCAGTGTATCCCCATTCCTAAAATAACTGTTTTTTCGAAAAAACAGTTGAAAGCTTATGATGTCCCAGTGTATCCCCATTCCTAAAATAACTGTTTTTTCGAAAAAACAGTTGAAAGCTTATGATGTTCCAGTGTATCCCCATTCCTAAAATAACTGTTTTTTCGAAAAAACAGTTGAAAGCTTATGATGTCCCAGTGTATCCCCATTCCTAAAATAACTGTTTTTTCGAAAAAACAGTTGAAAGCTTATGATGTCCCAGTGTATCCCCATTCCTAAAATAATGTTAAATAGACCCAAATTGACCTGTTCAGTTCATGCTGCCCAGAGTGCCATGAAGCTGACGGCGTCCCAAACGCCGACGCCATGCATGGCGCAGTATGGGCCATGCCGATGGCATGGCAGGATTGGGAAGTGAAGACTATCCCCTGGCTGATGGTTGTACCAACAAAAATTGGATTTCAACCAGTGAAAAGATGGTTTTAACCAACACAAAAATAAGGATTGGACTGGTGTTTAACCAATAGAATCATAGAACTGATTGGTGGTATCAGTGGTACCCAGAAATTTGCGAAAGTCATTGGGGACCTAGCATCATCCCATTTCTTGTTTGAAAAATGTTTGAAAAATCTGTGGTTAGCAATCCTATCCCCCCGATCATCTACCAAATACCTGTTAAGGTCCATTTAAGGTCCCCAAAATGAGCATCAAGACAGGTTTTTGTGACCTTGTGCTATGCGGTAGGGAAAGAGATTCCCCGTCAATCCCAATGGCTAGATTTCGAAACATTTTTCTGAATGCAAAAAATTGCCTAACCAGGATTTTTTCGTATTTTTTCCATGGTTTCAGCATTCCAGATGTCTTGTTGTTTTTGCATATTCAGATGTTGCCTCCCAACATGGTCCCGGTGATTTCATGATGAGTGGGGTGAGGCTGCCAGGCTCGCTTCAACGAGGGCCGTTCATGGTGCAGCCGAAACAAGCTGGCGTTGAAAATCAACTTTATATAAAAGAATTAACAATCACAATGATCCAGTAAGACAATCATAGTGGAACAATCATAAAAATATCACTAAAACAATAGTGGAATTTCATGATCCACCGAGAAGTTGGAACACTTTGATCTCCCAAGGAGCGAGAGTTTCTTGGCATGTTTTACCAATGTGACTCATGTGACCGCTGCGAATCTGAAAGCAAATCCTGCCCCCTGGTAAAATCCGCCCACACCGCTTTGGCGGTGAAGGCGTGCTTATTGGGGGGCAAAACAGCAACACTAAATGCTCAATGACATTTGTTAATATAGCAGTCGCTATATCAGCTTTAGCTGGGGGGGGCCAAAAACGGTTTCGCACCGAGACCAGAATACGGTGGTGTTTTCGACATTTTTCGAGGATTTTTGGGTGTCTGAGCGCAAGAGGGTATTGAAATGGAATTTTGGGTCATTTTGGTAGCTTTCCGGCAATGGAAAAACGGCCAAAAATGAAAAAAACATTGTACATAGCAAGATTTTGCAGGGTTTTTGGATGCCAGAGCATTGAAAACACTGCAAAAACAAGTGTTTTGGACTGACGTTATAGCAAAAAACGTGTAAATTACCGTATGCTTGACTGGAAACATTACAAAAACACTGTCAAAAGCAATGTTTTGGAAGGATTTACTGCCTTTATGGCAAAAAACGTGTAAATTACCGTCTGTTTGACTGGAAACATTGGAAAAACACTGTCAAAAACAATGTTTTGGAAGGATTTCTTATATATATGTTGGAGTTGGCTACCGGCATTGGCACATGGAAAAATTGAAGAAAACACTGTAAATAGCGGTATTTTCAACGGTTGGGGAGATAAGGGAATTGGAAGCATTGTCGAACATGATGTTTTCGACCGGTTTTATGGCGACAAAAGTGTAAAGTACCGTGCTTTGAAGGAAACCATTGCAAAAACATGGAAACATTCAAAGAACACGGGATTTGGGGGACTATCTAGGCGTCGTTGTCTAGCTATTTGAAATTCCGCAGCTTGGAGAGCCTCCAAGGGAGGGAAAAGTGAAAATTCCATAGCTTGGGAAGCTGTCACGGCGGGGAAAAGTGAAAATTCCCTAGCTTGGGAACCCATCACGGGGGGGAAAAGTGAAAATTCCCTAGCTTGGGGAGCCCCCACGGGGGTTCCCTGGCTTGGGGAGCCCCCGCGGGGGGGGAAGGTGAAAATTCCCTAGCTTGGGGAGCCCCCACGGGGGGGAAAAGTGAAAATTCCCTAGCTTGGGAAGCTGTCACGGCGGGGAAAAGTGAAAATTCCCCAGCTTGGGAAGCCCCCACCGGGGGGAAAAGTGAAAATTCTTAGCTTGGGGAGCCTCCACGGGGAAAAACCACCCTTAGCCCCTCTCACGGACCGAAATAAACCTGCGGTGTGGGCGGCCACCCCACGCGAAGCGGGGTGAATAACAGTTTGCCATAGGAAAACCATAGGAAAACCATAGGAAAATGGAGGTTTTGCTATTGAAAATGGCCATAGAAATAGTGGATTTACCCATGAAACATGGTGATTTTCCAGTTCGCAAACTGTAAACGTTTACCAGAAATTTACCCTCCGCTCCGCTCCATGGAAAAATACGGGGAATCGAAAAAAATGTTGCTCCGATGAATTTACAAACAGAAACCTCGTTTTTTATTGCGGGGATTGTCCTTTTGCAACCATATTGGATGAACACTGAAGGGTAACATATGGTAACATGCAACTCGAGGCTTTAACAAAGATGACGCCGGGCCGTTCCCCCATTTCGAGCAGAAATGTCTGCCCATGTTTAAGGAAAGGTGGGCCAAAAAGATTGCACCTGTGTTTTATATAGACTTTATATAAACCTAAGCTACCTGGCTGTGATCATCTTCATCAAAGTCTGCCCCAAGCTCAACATCCCGTTGAAACAAAGCAGATTTCTGCTGTTCAATTCATGTCCCCAGTATGTCACTATACAGATATGTCATTATTCCTGGTTGAATACTTTGAATACCAATTTTGCCAACGATTTTGCTAATTAGATATTTTATATGTATATATAGTATAGTTTATTATATCATATCATATATGTTCAAAGCCTGAAATATTAGCCACTTGCTTGACAACAACCCCGAGTAACCATCCCTCCTCATGAACCATTCCTTTCTTTGTCAGAAAACCCCAAAAATACGTTGGAACCACACATGGACTCCATTTTTACGGGTATTCTCCTATATGTTCCCATCTTTTCTATGATGCTCACGTTCAAACCTCCATGTTTCCACACATTGAACGGCCGGTGCAGGTTAGGGGCGCCTCTTCGGGCGCCGTGAAAGCAATGCCCTTGGCCGTGTAGGACTCCCCAAGACCTCAAGTCGCCGCTGCCCCTCAAAAAGATTGAAAAAAACACGAAAAGTATAATCCTGTAGTCCTGAGTTATTTGGTAATTTAGTATGCTTTGGTGATCCTCAGTCTTTAGTAATCCTCAAGTACCACGATGTTCTTTTTATATGTTTATACATGCATATGTGTAGTTGTTTTTTAAGCAGCGGTTTTTTTTCTTGCTGAGGGTTGCCAATCATGAAGAATCACGAGGTTTGTTTACTCCATGTTTTTGCCATTTTTCGGGTGGAAGATGATGATATATGATGATGAAGTAGTACAACCAGGTAGAACTGTGGAACTTGACCATATGAGCTGCCAGCAGCAGCTAATGTAGGAGTTGTGGTCACCGTTTCATATGGGACATGCAACAATAATCTGAGGTGGCATGGCATAAAATCTGGCCAAACCATCCCAACTCAAAAAATGAGCAAAGAAAGGCAAATCCACCACTCGACTGCTGAAAGATGCTGAAATCCCTGGCTATGGCTATGGGTTTTCAAACCCAGGTGCTTGGTAAATCCATGAAACCCATGGGATATCTTTGGATCAGACAACCACTATTCCCTGGATCCGGATCGTCACCACAGTTAGTCCACCAATTCATAGGATTCCCCTCTGAAATATGGGGGACTAGGCCCGGCCCTGCAACTCACACAGCTCGCGCCTCTTCCTAATTGCCTCACCACCGGAACGCGCTTCCAAGCCCCCTCCTGGCAGATTTTTGGCACAAACAACGGCAAATGGCGGTTTGAATGGGGAAAAGAAACCAATAGAACATGTGGAAAAATATCGGGAAGAAACCCCTCTAAATGCGGGTTTTCATGGGAGATTTAAAAGATAAAATCATGGAATACGGTGATAATTCGTGGGATATACTGAGCTTCTATTACCCTCTGGTGTCATCAAATGTGGAAAATCCCCCAACAAAATGGAGGCTTGAATGGGACAGTCATCGAACTAAATGGAAGCTTTTCCAACACGCCATGTTTGATTTTCCGGATGGTCAATTTCGTCACGTGCTGTTCGCACGATTTTCCAGATGGACCTTCAGCCACCAATCATAACTCATACTGCTGCAATACTGCTTGGTGCCCACAAAAATTCAAGAAGCAATGTTCTTGTTGGTGGTTCAGTAGATACTTACCCTCTGGTAATGACTAACATAGCTATAGAAAATCACTATTTTTAATAGGTAAACCATCTATAAATGGGCAGTGTTCCATAGCTATGTTGGTTTACCAGAGGGTACTGACTTGCATCTGCAGGAAATGGAGTTTGAATGGCAACTGATCTTGGGGGGTCGTCACAAATGTTTGCTCCACTCATTCTTGGAGGTAGCTAGTCGTCATCCCAATAGGTATTGATGGCTAAAAACAAAAAAACACGCAATTACAAACCATTTGCCAGTCGGTTTGTAAGGTATATAAAGCATTATAAACCCGCATGTAGTCAGTTGCAAATCTTGAACCCGGTTTCGAATTTTAGAAGACATTCAAAACTATTCCAAATAGCCTGCTACCGATGGGAAACCCATGAACCGTTGCTATTTGGCCGCGGCTTGACCATGAAAAGCAGCTCCTGAATGTGTTGGAAGATGTATATCTATCTATCGATCTATCTATCTATCGATCTATCTATCCATCCATCCATCCATACATATATATATATTATCATTATTGTGATTGTTCTTATTATTGTTACTGTTGTTTTTCCGTTTATCATTCTTTATGGTATTTTATTGTCAGTAGTACTCAGCAGGATCATTCATGACAAAAGCATTACTTTTTCAGCATCACATGTAATTCTAAAGATTAATGATAGTCATCTTAGCATCATTAATATTAAATGTTAGCATCATTGTCAGTATTATGTACACCCAAACAGTTAGTATTAATACATCATACTATCAAGTCCAAACGGCCGCATCACTTCAGGAAAGACATCCCAGTTCTCATTTCTTTGCTCAGTTTCGGGCGAGGAAAAAAACAATGCCATGCCAATGTGTAAAAAAAACAATAAGAAATATCATATGCTATCATATACTATGGTTGTATCATTTATAACAATGAATATTGGAATATGATGTATATACTCTCATATAATATCAAATAATATCACATACTATCATATAATATCACATACTATCATATAATATCATATAATATCATATACTATCATATAATATCATATACTATCATATAATATCATATACTATCATATAATATCATATACTATCATTTAATATCATATAATATCATATACTATCATATAATATCATATAATGTCATATACTATCATAAAATATCATATAATATCATGTAATATCATATAATATCATATAATATCATATAATATCATATAACTATCATATAATATCATATAATATCATATACTATCAGATAATATCATATAATATCATATAATATCATCTACTATCATATAATATCATATAATATCATCTACTATCATATAATATCAAATAATATCATATATTATCATATAATATCATATAATATCATATACTATCATATAATATCATATAATATCATATACTATCATATAATATCACATACTATCATATAATATCATATAATATCATATACTATCATATACTATCATAAAATATCATATAATATCATATACTCACATGTCCATCCTTTCCATCTCAATATCAAAAACATCCCTGGAGACTGATTTATATCCTCCAAGGTCACCAACCCGAAGTTCAAGCGGGGCCTCCTGCAGCTTCCTGGGCCAGCTACCTTGGAAGTCCCTCAAGGCCGGACCCACCTGTGGGCATATGGGCATATGGAGGCTGAGCCAATGATGGGTATATCACGGTATTAATCACGGTTAATAATGTGTTTTACAGGTGTCTCAACCACAAACAGACACGATTAGCGCGCTTGTTTCTTGAGCCATGCACACGACGATATAGGGTGAACATATGGGTATATACAGTGGTATGTACAAACAACACCCCCCGCCGCCCCGAAGTTTGACGGAGAGCGGAGAGTGGAAGTCCGCCAGATGTGACCTGAGAGCGGACGACAAGTAAGACATCACTGTGCATTAATTATGTTCAACCGAATCGTATGCTTGCGGTCTATGCTCACTGGATGCATGAGGCAAAAAGGTAATCGGATGTTTTGGCGATCCCGGGCATTGCACGTGCATGGAAATAGCAAAAGCAACATCGGCCTGGCTTCCGCCAAGGCATAGGAGCATTACCACTCCTTTCATTGCCTTGGAAACTTGAAAGCTACTGTATCAGGCCTATGTACACGGCTATATACACGCATGCTACATGGATCGGATGCTGGTGTCAATTTCTCTTGAAGCAATTGGAAAAGTTTTTCAAGTTAATCAAGTTAGAATTTCAAGTTTTGATGACGTGTGCATTTCGATTGAACTGAATGACCATGGGTCAGCTTTCATCCAATCGGCCAAACCTTCCGGTAGGCATAAAATCATGGCAAAGATGTGAAACATCTACCAAGATTCAAACTCTACCGTCCCATCATTGTAGGTGCGCTTGAAGTGCGGCTGGCCGTTGATCTCGCAGTACTCCTCAGCAATCACAACTGGTGCACGAGGTACCTGTCGTGGAGGTTCTGCTGCAGGAGCTGATCCAGAGGCAGCTTGGGCAGAATCGCCAGCAGCTGGTGTTGTGTCAGGCACAGGCGTCGCTGTTGAAGGTGGCTGCATTGGCTCCGGAGGAGCTGCCGAGGAGCTTGATGCTGTCGATCTTCCCCAAGGGTCAGCAGTCCAACCTCGGCCAGAGTAGCCCTGATTCCAATTCCAGCTTTGCCATTGGGCCTGCCCTCCCGAGCGGCTTGAGTAAGATCCATATGAACCCCACTGTTGCCCTCGGTTCCATCCACTGCGGCACTCAAAGGATTTGTGGCCATACTGACCGCACTTCCAGCACTCAATGGCCTGCTGAAAGATTGGGCGCTGTGGCTGACCATAACCCTTTCCTTTGCCCTTGGCTGGCTTCTGAATCGGGTCAAAGTGACGCCGGTATCCTTCTCGCCCTTCGCCAGTACCCGTCTTGGAGGACCTTGCCAATGGAAACTCAGCCACATCTGATGCAGTGGCTTCATCAACGAAGGAGTGTTCTTCACCCTTGATGTTATTGTATTGTTCCTTCCACTGCCTCTTCGCAAAGTCGACGAGGTCAAAGAAACAATCTTGGGCTGACGCCTGATCCACAGGTAACATTGAGCCAGACCATCCAAATAACATCGGCGTGGGTTCCCCCCTCGCTTTCAGCAAGTCCGCAGCAAGAACAGCAAATTGTGGGAGCGTGAAAACACGCGCATGATGTGCAACCATGGCTTCCTTTGTAACGTCCAACGGGAGTCGGATGTCTCTGTTGAAGTCAGGCATGAAAATCAAACGAGTGCTGACACCTGTTCCCAGCTGCTTTTCTCGCTTCTCTCGGGTACGGCCGACATCAGGGGCAATGCATTTTGCCAGATCCTCCAAAAATTGACAACAGTCGGGGGTTATCTGGCCAACCGCATTGTTGAACAAATAAAATGGGTCCTTCTCCATGCGGTCTTGGATCGATTTGAAGCCGAGCTTTGTGTATCTTCCCGCATGTGTCTGAGCAGCGTCCTTGAGATTTCCGAAGTTACTTCGTCCAGCTCGACGTTGATCTGCCCGGGTGCGGTCAGAGACTCGCTGAGCACGTGGCTGCTTCTCAAAATCGATCTTGTCCAGGGAAAACACCTTGTTGGTTTTCTTGGCCGAGATTTCCATCCGGCATACCTCTGTCGCAATTCTTCCATCCGACCAAGCGATCAGCCATTTGAAGCACGACTGACACTTGTGGGTGCCCTCAATGTTCTGTTCGCCGCAGAAGTGGCATCTGACCTGCTGCATCTCAATCTTTGAGCTGTAGATGTAATCCTCAGCATTTGTTGAGCGCTGGGCCAGCCCTCCCGGGCGGCTTCCTTTTCCCTTGCCTTTTCCCCGGCCCTTGCCCTTGCGGATGGTTTCGGCATTGGACAAAGCACCAAAGGAGGCCATCTTCAACGTCACTTTGTCTTCAAAGGGTCCTGAATTTCCTTCACGTCGACGAAGAAGTGGGGGAAGCTCTTCCGGAGAGTCGGTCATCTGCATCTGGCCGGGTCGAATGGACTTGCCGCTCATGAGGTAGGCCTTCAAACTGTCCCTGGCGTTGGCATACGGGCTCTTTGACAAGGCTTCTTTCTTCGGAGTGTCCTGGTCCTTGTGGGTCTTCATTTTGTTGTTGTACCCCACACGCGTGATCTCATAGGGGCGATTCACCCAGGCAAACTCCCTGTTGACAGCATCATATGTGCAAATGATGTTCTCGTTGGAGATCCAGTCAGGGCTTATGATTGCTTCGTCTGTGCGAAACAATCGACAGCCGCTTTGGACGATGAGCTCGGTGTCAAAGGCAATGTAGTATTGCTTCCCGGCTCGCGTTCCCGCGAGCTTTCGGCCACCGACTGAATCATCCCATGGATGTGACGCAATAAAGAAATTATGCGCCCTTCCTGTTCTTTGGGGCCAGCCACCTGGGATGAGACCATGTTCAACTATCTTTTCCATAGCGAGCCTGTCGCAGCTATGGTAGATAACCCTTGGAAGTGCAGCCATCATCTCCGGCACAAGGTCTGGACGAAGATTTGTCCTTGGCAACTTGGGCGTGTCGAGGTCGGCCTTGGTAAAGGTTGGATCCAAAGTAAACACTTCCTTCACCAGCGATGAAATTTTGGCATTTTCCACCACTGCACGGTTGTGTCCTTGGACTGCTCTGATAGCGACAACCTTCCATGGCAAACCCTTCCAGGTTGCTTCAGGCAAATCGGGCTGAGCCACTTTCACCTGGAAGCGCCTGGTGTCACTGTTGCGCACGATGGACAGGACCTCACTGATCTTCGGGTAGGAGACGTAGTGGGCCATCGTCTTCATCACTGCCTCGAAATCCATCGAAAGATCCATGGGATCGATGTCTGGGCTGCGAGCACCATAGCTCAATGCGTGTCCACGGAGAACATAAGATAACTTTGTGGAAAGAAATCTCAGTCGCCCTTGGCCGCAATACTCCTTGGGAATCCTGTTGATCATGTCATTGGGGTCCAACCATACTGATCCCTCTTGGCGTTCCGTCGCTTCTTCCAACTTGCGAAGGGCTGCATCAGCTTCGACACTGAGTCGCGGCGCTTTCTGTCTGGGCTGCGCTTTGGACTCTGGTGCCTTTTGCTTTTCACTCTTCGGCATTTTCTTTTCGGCCGGCTTTCCAACTGGCTTGTCAACCTCCACCTTCTTCTCGGTCTTGGTCAGGTCGACAATGGCAGTCTTGTCAGCAGGCGGTTCGGAAGAAGCAGAAGCCTCGGGAACTGCAGCATCAGTCGGCACACCCTCCCGGGCAGCATCAGCACCTTCCTTCTTCTCAGAGTCAACGTCCATGGCAGTGGCTTCAGATCCACCAACCTCGGTCCATGTTGAGATCCTGGAAGAAGTCATGTCGCTGGGCTTGGATTCATCACCACCAACCACACTCCATGTCGAAATCCTCGATGAAGTCATGTCTTCCCCTCCTTGGTCAACCTTTGCGGGTGCGTCTTTTGCAGCAGCAGGGTCATCGGCCGACGTTCCCGAAGGCTTTGCCTCAGCGGATGTGATCTCAATGATCTTGTTGAGATCGGCAACCTCTTTGGCTCTTTCCTCCGAGATTTCATCTTCCTTGACCTTCTCGTCATGGGGATTGACAATGATCTTGTCATCCAGGATCACGTCCCACTCGTCAAACTCGGGAACAACTTCAACATCATCTTCAACATCAGTGTTCTCCGGATTGATCTCGATCGACTCAATGGTTGTAGTTGAGAAACCATCAGCAGCGGCCTGATTCAGATCTTCTTGAAGGTATTGTCGGGCCCTGACTTCTTCGGTTTCGTAGTCCTCGATCGAAGGGTCAATTGGGACGATGGAGCTGATCTCTTCATCAGTGAAAGCAGTGGGCATCGGCCTTCCCTCCCGGGTGGCTTCCTCGTTGGCCTCAAGAATTCCTGCATGGACCCACATGAGGATCTCCTCATCTGCCTCATCAAAGACCTGGGCAGGGGTTGCCGTTTTCTTCTCAGTGGAGACGGCTTCCATGACCTCTTGAGTGCCGAGCAAAGCCAAACGAAACTGAACCATCGTGGGGAAGAGATGGACCGCGGCCACACGATCTTGCTCGTTGCTGATGAACTCCTTGACAAAGTACTTGAGATCGTCCTTCTTCGACATGAGCTCAACGTATTTGAGGTGGAAGGTGATGGCTCCTCTCAAGAAACGATAAACCAGTTTCCGGTTAAACTGGTGGTCGTGCAGGTGGTAGTTGTCGTATTTCCCACCTTGAGCGAGCATAGTGGAGTTCACACATTGAATGCCACGCTCTGCCAGCCAGTTGATGTGCTTGCCCATCTCACGATTGTAAGATGGCGGCAATGAGTATCCGGAATGGTCACCGTTCCCGATGACTTGCACAGTCATGACACGGGGGTCCTTCGAAATCTCAACCAGTCCTTCCAGTGATCGCTGCACCTTCTTGTACTGCTTGTCGACGTACTCGGCAGCGACCTTCCGGTCGGCTTCTGATTTCGTGAGATTGGATTGATGAATCCATGTACACCCTTGGTACCCAAAGTCCCCGTGCACATCGTTCCCCGCCCATCCGACGACGACCATGATCGGGAGTGTTGGTCTGTCAAGAAGGCGATTCTCACGCTCGACCTTCTCAATCAACTCCCAGATTTGGTGGTTAA